AGACGTGTCATCTTTTCCTTTGTCCAAATAAAAATCCAAACAAAAAGTCATATCATCCAATAAATTTTGTTCTCTTGCTTCCTCGTATGTAATTCGATGTCCAGAATTTGTAATTAATAAACCAGAATTAGTGAATTTTAAACCTTTCTCTTCAAGCAATACTAGAAAATACATGAAACTCATACAATAGGAGTATTAATTTATTGGCATTGATTTACATGAATTTTATAATAAAAAAATTATAAGCCAAAGCAGCTGTACTTTTTTAATAGTATGTTGCAAAAATTCTTGAAGTAATTTACAAAACCCGAGCTACCTGACATTTCTTCTATCGACTTTTTCGTCTTCCAACCTACAGTTTGTAGTTCTGTAAAGCGATCAATATCTTTTTGCAACACTTCTATCACTCTTGAATGTTTAACTTCAGCTATTTCATTTTGCAAGTCAGACAATTGCTCTTTTTCAGCTTGAATTAATAGTAACAGCATATTATAATATCTTTGAACATTTTCTAACATATTGTCTAGTATATTAACGGCATCTTCATATTGTTTTTGTGCCTCCTAAAATTTAAATAAACAAATATGTTTGACCTGTTTTAAGGGAGAATGACATACTAATTTTTGTTGTTTAATACTTCGCATTTGGGATTCATGGGAGTTTTCACATTCAGAAATTTCCTTCTCTAGTTCTACCAACTGTAAAGCTGTTTCAGACTCGTTCTTATCACTTGTGTCTGTGGTTAAACTTTCTTTAGCCTCCTTTAAACTATCCATTTTTGATCGGAAATTATACCTGACTTCATATATTTTATAATTCAAAACGTTCATAATTAGTTCCGTTTTATCAACAACATTAATTTTGTCCTGCAAGTCCGTTTTCATCTTTTTCAGATCATTACAAACTATGTCATACTGGTTTTGTATTGAACTTATTTCCCTTTAAATACAAATTTATTATTTAATTACTTAAGCCAAAACTAAATTTGTTATTAAATAAAAATAAATAATTTTCAAAACATCTTACTCCGGAATTACAAATAATTCACTCTGACTTGATCCACTAAAGGAAAAGGCAGTTTGAACCCTTAATTCATCTAACATTTTTTGGATATCGTTATATGAAGCCATTTTTTTATAAATTACTTTACACCAGTTATATATCAAAAGAATACTAAAATACGACAGTGACAAAAATTTGTCTTGGCCTTCTTTTAATAATAATGATACATTTATTTTCAACATGTATTAAAGGCCATTACAAAAAATTAGTAAAAAATCTTAAATTGTAACAGCAGAATACATATGCACAAACAAGATTATTCAGGGTTCGTATCGGCCTGGAATACCAGAAAAAGTCAGGGAATTCATTATTCTTAAAAAACAGGGAATTTGACGTTTGCTACTGGAAATTCTGTGAAAGCAGGCCCTAGGTTCTTAAAAGAGAAAACTATTTGTGGTTTTGAAACCTTTATCAGAGGTTCTTTGGGTATAGAAAAGATTATGCGTCCAGTAAGTCTAATGCATAAACACTACTAAAATAAACTACAGTACAGGTGACCTGGATTTTTTTTTTTTATAAGTCGGTGAAAACCTGAAAAAGTCGGGGAATTCTATATTACTTTTGAACTATGAACATTATTGTACAAGTCGAATCATTTGAAACGATATAATTTTGTATCTTTTATTAAAAAGCGTACATTTTTCAAATATCAAAATAGATCAATTATTTTATTTGTATTTTTTATTAATTCCTCTCTTTTGTATTAAAAGAGTTTTAAAATGTTACTTCATCCCTTTTGCCTCTTAAAATGTTTTGGTTGCCACCCCACCTGCATTAATATTGTTTAAAGTTATTCTCATAAGGGGAGCAGGGGTGTGCACCGCCCACCCCAAAAAAAGATCTAATTTTATTATCTTTTGTCATATTGGTAAATCGGTGACTTTTTTTTAGAATCAAATTAAAACATGTTCAAATATATCGGTAAGTTGCTGATTGTGAGTTGTTTTTTTGCACATTCCAGGCCAACTAGATTTATTGCAAAATTGTATTCAATAATTACTATAATTAACATTTTTGGACCATAGTAGTTTTATAAAGCAAACTATCATTAATTTGCCATGTACAGGGTGCCCCTGAAAAGGATGGACAACGCTTGACCACAGACGAAAATGAGACTATTTAGCCTAACTTACCTATATACAAAAATACACGCCTACTGAGATATAGCCTTCTAAATATAGAACAGATAACCTAGTTTTTTTCAAATAATTTGTAAACTTTTTCTTAGAAATTTCAAATTTGGTATACATATTTTTTTTATATAAGGGCAATGTACGTATAGAATTTGGTGAGAATACATATATAGGATGTTCTCTTTCTAGTGTCTGTGCGCAACTGGCTATCCCGTAACTTTTTTGTGTATACGCCAATAACGACAGAATTTATATTTTTAAAAATAAGCACTATTTTCGAAGATTTTTTGCCTCTTACAAAATTTTGATATCGTTTATGAATTTCGAGTAAAATTGGCATTTTTTACACATTAAATAATATAAAATCAGTTTAAGATAATTAGAACAGTCTAGTACGAGGTGCCATATAACAAAGAAACAAATTCATAACAATAATTAAAAGGTTCAGTGTCAAGGTGTGATTTAATTTTAGCTTACTTTATTTTTTATTGCAATTTATACTTTTGCTGAATAAACTGATGTTATTAGTTTTGGGTTATTGTGAAGGAAATTGTTGTGCTACTGTTTGAACATATGCTGAAAGATTTCCTAATCGAAGAATTCCATATCACAAAACATTTGCTAATGCGGAGAGATGCCTTCGGGAAACAAGACCTTTGTTACCTGTAACATTAAATCGTGGATAATGTACGGCTGAAACTATTCAGCTGGAGGAACACATTTTGGAAAAGGTCGAAGAAATTCCTCAAGTAAATACAAGGCGTTTAGCGGCAGAGGTTGGCTTTCAAAAAGTTCCGTTAATAGAGTATTAAAAGACCAGTTATTACAGGTTACTATCCTAACAGGTGGATAGAAAGAAGAAATAATGCCCCTTTAAAATGGCCACCTCGATCGCCGGATCTAAACCCATGTAATTATTTCCATTGGGGAGAGTTGAGGATCACAGTCACAGGTCACTTTTCAGTAAATACAGAAAACGAATAATGGGAAAGAATACAACATGAAATTAATGTTATGAGAGGTAATGCACAATTATTGGATAAAATTCATTTTAATTTTCGAAGAACTAATGCTTGCGTTTAAAAAAAAGGGAGTCACTTTGAGCATTTACTGCAATATTAGTTTAATATGATTACAAATATCAATTTAGGTTTATTTAAAATGTTAATGTTGACTTTCTTACATTATTAGTTGATATTGTTTATTTAAAATACTACTGTTGATTTTTATTTTATTGATTGATAATACTAATACCAAAAATGTGCAGTTATTTTTTTTTAATGTGACGTTTTTTCATTATTATTCCCTCCTTTGAGGCTAGTTATATTATTTTTTACAAATCGGAATTTTCGCCTATATTTAATGTATAAAAAATGACAATTTTACTCGAAATCCATAAACAATATCAAAATTTTGTAAGAGCAAAAAAATCTTATAAAATAATGCTTATTTTTTTAGAAATATAAATTCTAGCCTCACTGTTGTACACACAAAAAAATAACGGGATAGCCAGTGGCGCACAGGCACTAGAAAGATAACATGCTGTATATGTATTATCACCAAATTTTTTATTTACATTGCGCTTACATAAAAAAATAAGTGTACCAAATTTGAAGTTTCTAAGAAAACTAGTTTTCAAATTATTTGAAAAAAAACTAGGTTATCAATTCTATATTTAGAAGCCTATATCTCAGTAGGCGTGCACTTTTGTATATAGGTAAGTTAAGCTAAATAGTATTATTTTCATCCAAGGAACCTGTGGTCAAGCGTTGTCCATCCTTTTCAGGGACATCCTGTAGAATCATACCCTTAAATATTCCCATATCATTAAGGAACACCCTGTACATTGTGCTCTGTAAAGATCAGTCAAAAGTTTCCATGAAATTATTTTGCATAAACAAACTTCTCACGTTGAAAATAAAAGAAATAAAAAATATGCAGATAGTTTACATTTTGTGAACTAGCCTAGCACAAATATGGTGAATTTATAAAAATATGTTCCAACAAATGGATTGTTTCTTACTTGTCGAAAAGTTTTAATAATTTATCTCTTATTAAAGTAGAAAATGTAAGTTTCTCCAGTATCTTCCCATGGTTTTTAAGTTGTATATAAAATTTGTTGGAGTCTGTTGTTTGACGAAGCCTTAATTTTTTTCTTTCAATTTCAGAAATAACCTCCTCTTTGAAATTATGAAGTACGGTAAAATTTTCGTGTAACAATTCAAGTTCTTTTTGTAGTTTGACAGATCCAGGATAATATACATTTAACAATTTAGGAGTCGACATTCTTATTTATTTTTATATGTCAAACTGACAATCACCTTGTCAAAGATTTAAAAAATAAAAATCAAGAACTCAGAAATAAACGTTTAAAATTTATCGCACAAAGAATGGTACACATTTGTCGATTGTATAAGCTACCCCACAGTGCACAGAAATAATCAACTATATACAGGATGAATCAATTTGGAAATTTTTTGTGATTTTTTGTATTTTAGGATATACGAGTAGACAGAAAATAGTTAGACATTCAGCATTATTTTTGGAAATGTTGGATGTTTCGATTTGTTTAAGAGAGTGTAGTGTACACTGTAAGTAAAATTAGGACTTCAATTAAACTGAGTAATCATACTTATATTTATTTTCCATAAACTGTAATATATAATACTTCTAAAATTATTAATAATAAATAAAATTTATAGGATTTTAATAATATTAACTACGCTATAAAATTAAATTTGCCATTATACAGAACAGAAATAAAGGAAATATGTATATTTTAATTTAAATTACATGCTAGTGTTATTCTATTTTTTTCTTGTGAATGTTTTAAGATCAGTAACTAAATATAAATACCCGAGAAATATAAATAAATCAAATTTATTGAGATTTATATGGAATTACTCTATGGTCAGTATCACCCCAATTTTTGTGTACTTCTGTACTGCACTCGTTGCAGTATAAGTCTCCACTACAATCCAAACACCTAAATTTAGCATCGTTATTGCATAGCACACACCATGGCAATTCAGGCGACGAGGTACCATCTTGCTCTTCATCATTCGAGGGTCTCTTTTTCACCGATGTTTTCACAGGACATTTTTCATCCAATGCAACTTCATCCATTATCTAAAAAGAAAGATTTCAAATTGAACTTAAATAAAATCAAATATAAAATAAAAAAACTAAAATTGGTAAGTATTATTTTTGAGTATTAAGCTAATTGGAATTAAATATTTTTTATCACTATTCCTAGCTTTATATACCTTTATAGGTATAGCAGTGTTGGCAAAACTACAAGTAGCCATATGAGTATTAATCAAAATTAATTTTAATTAATTAATTAATCAGGTTAATTTTTAAAACTGATTGTGAGCATTTGGTTAATTTTATGCAAAACGAATAATTTTTTTCTATTTTGGTGTTTTGACAGATTTAAAAATGATCAAAGAAATTCTTGTGCCGTCAATCAAGGGTTGTTTTTATAAAACTATTGTTTCCTTAAAAAAAATAGAAAAAACAATAATGAAAAATATATTACTTGATGTACATTTCGAAAATTAATTTGTCTTTGTTTTCATTAAATTTGAAATTGTCAATTGTGGGTATTTTAATAAAAAAATTTGTATATTGTATGTTTGAAAGTAAAATAGATAATTTTTCAGAACGTAAATTAAGGTTTATTGGGTACGGAGGTACGTCTAAACGGTCTAAAGTCTAACGAAAGTTTCTGTAGATTCGCTAGTGACTAAAGTTGTAAGCCTTTAGATTTGGCAACGTTGCGCTTGGCTGGCGCGCTCGGCTCGGCGTTCGCTTGCTCCCGTTCGATCATTCTGTTTGTTTGGACACCTGCAAATTTCAAATAATACGCTACGTCGAGACCGCGTTGCCGCTATCACGCATATGGAGGATAAGTTAGTCAACAAAAGCAGTTTAAAGGAGAATTATTATAAATTATGTATCTTACAAGTACCTAATCGATTTCTACAAGCTGTCATACAGTTCCTTAGATATTGGTTTCCTATTTATACAAGTTGCTGTGGAAACTGTTTGTCAATTATTGCGCATTCTAAGTGGAAAGACTAAAAAAATCTGCATTCTCATAAGACTGTACTAAATCGTGAAAAATTATTTTATTAATATCTCGTCTCTTAGGTATCCAAACTAGTCATTTTTTTGAGGATGTTCTGCATATTAATAAGCTTATATTAATTTTTTTATGAATATCTGTTCGTCAATTATAAATCAGATAAACCTCCTTAAGTAAAATAGAGATGCATATTTGCATTAAGTATTGACGCAAATTTTTCATATTGCTTTTTCGTTGAAATTTTTTTTAGTCAAAAATAATGGGAATCTTAAATAAATTTTAGTTTTTTTGCACAGATGCCAAAATACTGAAAATAATAGAAAAAATTAAATTATAATACAAATAAATAACTAATGGAGAATGGAAACACTCTTGATTGAGATGAAAATAATAGACCTTATGAATAAACAACATGTAGGTGTTATGTAAAAACAAAACTAACTACATATATCTTGTATTTTTATCATTCATGTTTATTATAAATAAGTATATTCAAGAATATTTCAGTTCTACTTTGGAGACTGTTGTGTGATTTTTGGAATACACCTGTTTTGGATATTTAATCAAAATATCTCGAAAATAATATTGAAATATCCTAAAGAAATATTGGCATATATGGAACACAAACGAACGTATTTAATCAATATGTATTTAGTTCCTCCTTAATTTTTTATTCAACAAATATTTCTATATAATTGTAGTTGTATCTAGATGGTGTATTATATGAAAAATGTGAGGTTTCGTTAAATTAAAATTTTTCTTCAGAAACCAACTACTTGCTTAAGAAAATATTTTTTTAAACAGTGTAAAGCAGTAATATATATGTTTAGTAAATATTGGGTCAATTATCAACTAGTTAAACTTATAAGGGTGTTTGGAAAAGTTGGTACATCATTTTAGGAGGTGAAAGTAGAGCCAAAAATAGTAAGAAAAGTTTCTATAAACATTGGTCCTCCGGAGCACCGTTACTGAGATATGGTACTCGAAAGGGGTCTTATTATTTGGATATTTTTTAAAATAACTTTCTTTCTGATTAAGATAATGAAAAGATAATGAAAATTGTAGGTAATAATCATACCATAAGGGTCTTTAACTATCATAAGTTTCATCAAAATCGGTTATAAATAAAGATAGTTTTCTACCTTTAACAGAAATTTTTCGAATTTTTTTTATTCCTTTGAATTACCAATCACATAATATTATTTTTTAATGAATTATACTTTTTTGAAGAAAAAATGTTCCTACTTTTTTTTCAAATTCTGCGTAGTTTAGTCAGAAATAATTATTTTTTAAATAATGTATGGTCAGAACAGTAACTTAACTTTTTTCGTTTTCACATAGTCGGCATCTTTCATGGTAACAGTTGTAATGATACTAATGATTGCCACTTTCGCGTGTGATCGTTTAAATTCTTATGTTTCTTTATCTTCTTAGTTGTGATCTTTGTGCTTGACTTTGCATATCATTCGATTTTTTTACAACCATGAACCATCATGAGTAGACGCTCTTCTTACACTCGCAGTAGGATTACGTTAAAAAAATCCTAAAATTACTTTGTCAAAATAATGCCTACGCCTCCTTGGACGGCCAAATTCACGATATCTTGGAGTTAGGGCTCCTGATTCCACGGTTAGTAAAAGCATGATGGTTCATGGTTGTAAAAAAATCGATTGAAATGCAAAGTCAAGCACAAAGATCACAACTAAGAAACGTAAGAATTTAAATCATTAGTATCACTACAATGAAACTGTCACCATGAAAGAAGCCTACTATGTGAAAATGTTAAAAAAAGTTACTGTTCTGAGCCATACATTATTTAAAAAATAATTATTTCTGACAAAACTACGCAGAATTCGAAAAAAATAGTAGGGAAATTATTTCTTCAAAAAAGGATGAATACGCCCGGTATATGTAAAAGAGATATCCTGGCGAACCGCTGGCGTTCACGCACGCATAGCATTTTGTTGTATATTTTACTACATTGGAAATAATTAATAATTGTGTATAATTGGTTTTGTGAGTGAACCCTAGGTAAAAGTCGAGTGCATTCCCTTTTCCTTTTGCCCTCGACCTGAAGAAATATCAATTGCATCACATTTTGGTGAGTTCATTTAGTTTAGTTTAGTTTTTTTTATGAAGTCCACTTGAAAAGGGCTATTTGGGCCCCATTGGAGTCTAAGGGCCAAATTCAGAGACTTCCCTAAATCTATACTAACCTTTCACTCATATCAAACTTATTCTCCACTCAACTTAGGGTGCCCTCATCTCATTCCCAATTCTGATATTCAGAAATGTGTCTAAATGAGTGACTAACTTAAGTGTGCATCAAACCACAAATTACTAGATAAGGGAACAGTTGGCTACNAGAAACGTAAGAATTTAAATCATTAGTATCACTACAATGAAACTGTCACCATGAAAGAAGCCTACTATGTGAAAATGTTAAAAAAAGTTACTGTTCTGAGCCATACATTATTTAAAAAATAATTATTTCTGACGAAACTACGCAGAATCCGAAAAAAAAAAAGTAGGGAAATTATTTCTTCAAAAAAGGATTAATACGCCCGGTATATGTAAAAGAGATATCCTGGCGAACCGCTGGCGTTCGGCTACCGGTTTTTGTTGAATATTTTTTATTATTTTTTTCAATTAGTAGTAGTTAGTTTGATTCACGCACGCATAGCATTTTGTTGTATATTTTGCTACATTGGAAATAATTAATAATTGTGTATAATTGGTTTTGTGAGTGAACCCTAGATAAAAGTCGAGTGCATTCCCTTTTTCCCTTTTCCTTTTGCCCTCGACCTGAAGAAATATCAATTGCATCACATTTTGGTGAGTTCATTTAGTTTAGTTTAGTTTTTTTTTATAAAGTCCACTTGAAAAGGGCTATTTGGGCCCCATTGAAGTCTAATTCATTAAAAAATAATATTATTTGATTGATAATTCAAAGGAATAAAAAAAATTCGACAAATTTCTGTTAAGGGTAGTTAGAAAACTATACTTATTTATAACCGATTTTGATGAATCTTATGATAGTTAGACCCTTATGGTATGATTATTACCTACAATTTTTATTCCATTATCTTAATCAGAAAGAAAGTTATTTTAAAACATCCAAATGATAAGACTCCTTTGGAGAGCAATATCTCAGTAACGGTGCTACAGAGGACCAATGTTTATAGGAACTTTTTTTACTATTTTTGGCTCTACTTTCACCTCCTAAAAATTTATACCAACTTTTCCAAACATCCTGTATAACGATTTTTGCCGCACTATGGCAAAATGCCAAAATTGACCATAGGTTGACTTTTTGGTGGTTATTGGTTTAATTATTTAGTAACCTGAATAATATGAATTATAATAGCTGGTTAACTGTTAACACTAAGGTATAGTACTAAATGTCACCTTCGGTTGCAAATTAAAGTTATTTCTCAGTATTCCGACCTGCTAATTTTTTTCGATCAAATTAGAAGTTTTTTTATTTAAGTTACAACTTCCAATGGCATGAGTATACTAATTACAGGACGAGGAGAAACAGGGATATACAATATTCAAGTAAGTAGAAACAGGAACAGTTTTACAATAAATCTTTTGTACATATTGTAATGATGTCAAGTTGGCCACTTACTGAGTTTTATAGGTTTTTCAACACTGATGGAACAAAAATGGAAGCATATCAGAACACTGTTCTAAGAATAGGCAATTGAAAAGAAAAGGACAACTTTTATAAACCAGCTCAATCATCAATAATATTATTAATTTCATTACTTTAAGTAAGAAAATAACTAAGTTGATTTAAACTTATGTATTTATACCATGTAGATCTGACTTAATCTTAATTGACAGTATTAATTTAAGCAAGAAAATAGTATTTGCTTAATAATCAAATTTGTGATTTTCTAAAAACACTAAAACTGCATGAACTTTATTATCAATTAACTTAATTTCGACATACATAAATACATAAATTTGTAGTAATAAGCACTATCGAATAAAAACTATCGAAATATTCAGTGGCTGTAATGAAAATTAAAATCGTCATATTTTAATAATAAAGCATGGGACCCATACCGTTTTTTAGAAGATAATTTATATTGGCTTAGAAATTATAACCTAAAAAATAGTATGTTCCACGCTTCATTCTCAAAATATGACCACATTAATTTTCACCAGACGCCACTGATACCTATTTTAATTATTCGGTAGTCCAATAATCATTCGAATGAAAACAGTAAAGGTTCACACAAACTACCAGTTCCACGCCACATAATTCACATTACCATGTGCCATTGAACTACTAGTCACTGGTTGATAGTCGATGGTGGTGGTCACCGGTTAGTGTTAGTAAAACAAACACACACATTACAATTAATTAGGAGTTAAATGGATGACTATTATACTGTACTAACTTGTAATAAATCTTATTTCTTTCTAAAAATAAATAAGATATTCATAGTCTCCACGTCAAACAAATGAATGTATTAGCATAAATTTATTAGTTGAAATCTACTCATTACTAATTATTCAATAGCTGAATTAATTTGATAGTGCACATTACTAATGTTTGGTACATACTCAAAAATATTTAAAAACTAAAATAAAGTGTTTTCCATTCATACGGACAAGGCGCTTTACTAGTGAAAATTAAAATCAAGCAAAAAATTAAAGTACACCTAAGACGCTCTACGAGTAGAAAAATAACACAACCATCTTGTTTTGTTCGTGAACTTTATTCTAATTTGAGCCACCCTGTATCTTTCACCATTTCTGATACTCCATAATAATAAAACATTGTTATCTTGGACCTAGTATAGGAATCTTTTGATACATTGTTATATCATAACACTGTTCAACTATTTTAGAAACATTTTGTGTAAAAATAAACCTACACATAATGGAGTAGTTTCTTTCAACCGCAAAGAAAATGGAAATGTAATTTTTTTTAATATTTTCGTTAATTAGTTTATTTAAATGTGATTTTTTTTTATTTGAAATTTGATTTTACTTGTATCAAGTCATTAAACAAAAAATTAGAGAAATCATTTAAATGTCTATTGACACAATGCTTTTTAATTAGGATTCTATAAAGGCCTGCGCATGCATACGCGGTAGCGATGGCGGTGGCGTTACTCGAATTTAAATATACCGCTCGTACCGCAACATGTATGTTTTGACCCATTTGTTTCTATGTGTTACATTCAAACGCCACCGCCACCACTTACCTTACCGTGTATGTATGTGCAGGCCTTCAATTCAATGATTCCACATTCTTCATTAGAGGTTGCAAAGATCTCTTCAAAAGCCATGGGAGGAAACCAGTATTGCTAAATTCAGCGATTTGTCACATTTCAGATGGTTTTTTGTTTGCAAAACATACTTATAAAAACTATTTATACATGCAAAATACCAATTAAAACCATATTATTTTAAACTTATGGTTCATTTTTAATTTTTTAATTTGCAAATAGATATTATTTTGTTGTAACTGATTCTAGTTATTACCCTGTTAATATCTGTTGGTTTAGTGGTAAGCTAGAAGGAATGGCTTATACAAATGTGAAAGCAGTGATGCCGAGAACACATATTACCACTGCAATAACTACATTCTTCTATAAAATAGGGTTGTTGACCAAATTTCAAAAAGTAGATAATATAATTCTACACATACTAACTTAGTGTGTATACACAATTAGAGATTGAGAAATGCGTCAGAACAGTTTTAAAATAATTATTTAAAACTGTTGTTTTTATAACATTTCAAAACGGCTGTGACGTCACTTGTAGTGAAATTATGTGTAAATGATTGCGTAAAGGAAAACAATTGGAAGAAGGCGCTCTGTCAACACTGTCAGTAGTGTCAGTCTGTCAGTGACACTGTCGTATAAAATATTTTCAAGCAAAGGGCTATTTTCCTTAATCTTCAAATTCCTTTATTAAGTAAAATTATTATTTAGTAATAATCATTTAATAGCTTCCCTTATAATTAAAGCAGAATATGTGAATCGGCATTTGTGAAAGCAACTTCGCAAATTTTACCGAAAATTGATATTTTTATGATCATGAATTGAATTTTTTAAAAGAGAAGAGAGTATTAATATTGGCGAAATCAGAGGTATAAAAGCAATCAGGTAAGGATCAACATATTTAACAAATGATTTTATTGTGTTTATTTATATATATAGTGTAGTTCGGGAGTCTTTTGGAGATAATGCAATTGGCTATGTGGAATGTGGAACAAAACACCACTTAAATTTTGTTGAATCCATTACAATCAGGAAATTAATAACTATCACAAATACTCTTAATTGATAGACTGCTGTCACTAGTGTCACTTTTGTTTAAAATAGAGGAAACAGAGCAGCAGTGTTGCCAACTGGTTGAAACGGAATTACCGTACTGGCAGTTTCAAATTACCGTATTTTAGCTTCCAAGACCGTACTTCGAAATTGCACGGGGAGGGGCTTAGAAATAAACGTAGAAAATGTTTAAACCAATATGAGAACACTTTTTAGTTTTTTTAGCTGCTGGGGCAACTTCATTGTCACTGTTAGTGGTACTCGATAATTTATCAAAAAGGCAATGGCTGGGCCAGTCAGCTGTTTCGTTTTGATTTCGCGTATATAATATAATTTTTCCCTCAACATTTTAGTCACAGATTACTGAACTATGTATTTATCTTAGTTAATGTCGTAATTGCTCATTCGTATTTCTTCGGTATTTCCCTCAGAAAACCCTACCAGCCAGCATCTAAACCTCAGAGAGGTAGGTAGTGGGAGTGCGAGACGTGGAGAATGTGAAAATTTATCTAGTTCAGCTAGCAGTAATTAGATGGCGATATAAGTACAAACGCATTATAGTGACATCAAACAATATGTACATATTATCTGTGGTAAAATAAAGATTGAAAAAATTTCAATGATTAATAATTCTTGAGAAAGAAGAATAAGTAATACCACTTGTCAGAATTGTTCAAATACCGTACTTTAGGGGTACGGTAATGTAGTTGGACCGTATACCGTATTTTTGATCAAATTACCGTAAAAGTACGGTAATTACCGTACCATTAGCAACGCTGCAGGGTTTGAAGGACAATTTTGACATATTTTCTTCTTCAAAATTATGCAATAGGATTGCTACTAGCTTCTTGTTCAATTGCCCCTTATGATGTCAGACTATATACATATAGACATATATTTAAAATTTGACTATACAGGCAGGTTCTTTTATATAAAAGCTTTGACTCAACAACAATTTGTATATGGTTTGTTTTTATAGTGGACAACCTTATTGCTTTATTTAGCGCTGGATATGAAATTTTCACTTAATGACACCATAACACCTTTTAATTTTTTATAGGACTTAAATGAATTAATATTTATTAACTTATTTTCATTTTGTGATATAGTTAAAAAGCTAGGAAACATCCAATTATTTCAATTAATTTATATTTTTAGCAGCAGAAACGTTTTTATTACCTTTTTTGTAATCTTATCAACCTCCTCTTCGGAACCACTCGAATCATGCAAATTGCTGATGTACTGGCCCTCATTTGGTCTCACTCCTTGTTCTCGTAATGTAGCTAGTCTAGCTTCTATATCTTCTTGTGGATTATGAGAAAGTTCTATATCTCGTTCATTCATAAACTGTTCCAATAATGAATCTGCTTTCTGTTGGTCGGTCCTTGTATCGGCAGCATACACCTAAAAAGAAGTAGGTATTTACTGCAACAGTAAAATAATTACACATTATCATATTATACAAGGTGTTTAAAAAGAAGATAGCATAAATTCAGGGGTTGATAGAACAAAGAAATAAAATGATGGCCCTATTGTCTTTTGTTTTTGAGAATTAGGTCTTAAAACATGTTTTTTTTAGTGAAATGTTGCTCAAATTGTTTTGTCAAAGCAATATGTTGCACCGAAATTGTTACAAGTAAATTATACTTCAATGTTATTAATTTTTTACTATTTTGTAGAGGTCATTCGCTATGATCCATCTTAATGGGGATTTATAGTCATGAATTTGTGAAATGCAATGTGAGAGTATTATTCTGACCGATTAATTTCAATAAAAAACAAACATTTTTAGTTAAATCAGCCCGTCAGAAGAATATCTGCATTTTACAATTAACAACTGTATTGTAAGAACCTTGTTTTAGAATATATTTTTTGAGGTTAGCTTTTCTGCTTGTATGGAGAGTTGCCAAATGTGGCGATTTATCACCAGTGGCAACACAACATACTCGGATGTAGAGCTGGATCACTCGTTCATTTCAGATGTGCTGGCACATAGGACACAACTCATTTAAGTGTGCCGTTCAATGTGAGTCGTTCATTTGTACGACAGGTACTACGGAGCTATGGCTATGCTGAATATGCACACTGGCAGGAGGTGGTTCATATACAAAAAAAATGTTTTGACAAGTAACACAATCGTATTTATTACCTAACATGATGACTTACTTGTTTGCAAGTGTTTGGTCGGTGATCTTTGCATTTTTTCAATATAAATGGCAACAAAAAATTATTTTTTTTTGTTACCTAGACATTTTTAGACATTACATAAATAAAGGGCTTTACTTGAGATTCTATTGTTTGTAATTTCTAGTAAAGCAGTCGAGTATCGGGTGCTCAGTGTTCAATGCTCGCTCAAGATATATTAATGGTGGAATGAACGATTAGCTCCTTCACTGCGAGTCGTTCATTCATGGCACAAGATTATGTGCCGGAACATTCGTGCGAGTCGTTCATGAGCGACCCATTTCTACTCGAATGGCTCCCAAAAATTTCACATGGCAACTGGTGATCATTAATATTATTGTGGCGACTTAATTAATTTTCTAGACAATAGTAATTATTTGTATTATTTATATCTATGGTCAAGATACATGGTAATGATATTTACAGAAATATTTGATTTTTAAATATTCTTTCAGAATAAGAAATTGACGAGATGTCATCGAACATAATATTTTAACAAAGTTTCCTTTTATTTCAAACAGACTTTTTGGTTAGGTACTGTATTTCCATCTAGTAACAATGATAGATAAAATTTCTCTGGCAACCCTGTTTATATGTCACTTATCACAATATAAAATTTAATTTCACATAAAAATATTAGTCCTGATTGCCAAAGTCAACTACCTTCTATTCCTGAAAATTTGCTTTTTTATCAGTACATTACATATATTAAAGTAGACAACCTTATTGTCAGAGATTTTATAAATTTTTTTGTTCATTATACTAATCATTTTTTTATATCTAATGAACACAAATAAATGATTTGCAGTTTAACAGAATATATTTCTTTCATAAGTTATTATTAATAAAATCTTGTTCTCTTCTGTTTTTGGAAGAAATTGATTTCAATAGATCATCTTTGACATCCTAGCTCTTTTCTTTTATTCATGATTTCAGAAACATAACGCGTTACGATCCGAAATTTAGCAACCTTATTGGTTTCCATCAGATTGTAACGTGTTATGATTCCGAAATCATGAATAAAAGAAAAGGGCTCCTGTATTACAAAAAACCATTGACCTATGATCCACAGTAAAAAACAACTTATTTTTTAGTGTTCAGTCAGTCACTTAATTTATTTTATCTTATTTTTTTAAACAACCTATATATTTAAATACAATTCAAATTGCTGAGAAAACAGATTTGAGATTAAACTGAATAAATTGTGCTATGCTTATGCTAGCTATGACAAGCAGGCCCCCCGTAACCGGTTGTGCAACGCGTGCAACGCACGCGGGCGCCACTTCAAAGGGGCGCCAAACCGAAGGTTTGGCAAAAAATAATTTTTAAAAAACCAGAAAAAAAATATCAAAAAAAATTAAAAAAAAATAATACGCAGGGTGAATAAAAATAAGTGAATGCTCTTACTTGTCAAGTTTCAAGCAAATACTTAGTGGCCACATTTAGTTTGTTAAGGATTAACAAGTATTAACTTTCGGATTGACAGGTAAAAGCGTTCACTTGTTTTTATTCACCCGACCCAATGTAAGAAATATGAAATATTTATTTTGGTGCTACGACATATTAAATTTTCATACAGTTTTAACTTAAGGTTTTATTAAACACTTAAGAGATGAAATTAATAATTTTATCAATATTTGTATGTAATATAGGTACATAAATAATATTTTTAAGTTAAACTACTACTTTAAATAAAATCTGGTGCACTAAAAACGGGAAAATAATTATTAGGACACATTATGAGACTTTCTAAAGATTCTAATCTCTTTAAAAATTAACAATTAATTTAAAATGTGGGATGTAGGTTAAAATATTTTTTTAGCGAACTTGCCCCCCACGTTTTTATTTTTAATTGTTAAATGTTCCAGAGGTCAGGATATCTCAGAAATATTTTTACTTATACTTTCTATTTTTTAGTTCTTAGTTTTTCACTTGACTAGAACTAACTCTACTCTACGACTGAAACATTAAATGATAAAAAGACCTTTAAAACGAGGTATCACTTGATCTCCTTTTAATTTAAAATTTTTAAGGGCAGCTCTCACCCTCGCTCAGGGGTTGATACTGTGGGGTTAAACATAAAATATGATAATATAATATTTTCTTAGAAACCTAAAGTACGTGCGGAAAGTTTTGTAAGAATCGGTTTAGTAGAAGTAGTTCAAAAAGCTATTGCAAGATTAAAAACAAACAATAAACAACTATAGTGGTCGAGCGATATTAAGTAAAATCGTTTATTATTAAACCCTTATTTTAAATTTTTGTTAATATGTAACATTTTTTTTGTAAATAAAGAATTGCATTTTTTTAAACCAAATCCGAATATTATGCAGTATTCGTAAATCGCCAAGCTTGTCTATATACGTGAAAACTTGTCGAGCTGTAAAAATTGGTCCAGACTTGCATATTTCGGTGGATTTTTCCAGTTCGAGTCCAAACTGCCAGTTCACGGGGTATAAATTAAAACAACGAAACGGGTTAGCTAATCAGTTCTTGATATTCACACAAGAAAACGGAAGATAAATTAGACGTGTTTTAAAGTGGTAGAAAGAAAATATTCGATTCGATCAAGTGTTTAATATTTTTTGTTATTGTGTTTGCTGTGGAAATTAAATTGAGAATTGAGGGTGAAATGGTAAGTATTATATTATATAATACAAAAAATAATATAAATAATTGGACATATTCTAATAAAGTAATAAAATCCAAAATTAGTTTTTTTAAGGCATATCAGTTTATTTTAAAAAATTTAAATTATTATTATGTTATGTTAAGGAAAATATAAAATATGTAGGTATAAGGTATATAAAATATTAGATGCCAAAATAGCTTTGTAATACTTAAAGCATCGTTTGATTTTTAATAAAGTATTGATTACTATACATATGGGGTAATTATTAAAATAATATTTTTTATTTTTGGTTTGTACCAAAGAAACAAAAATTGAAGTTTCAAATAAACTTAAAAATGTATAAATATAAACTATGACTGCCTGGGCTAAATTATTAATTTTTAGCTTTAGATAAATAATTAAATTAAAAATAAGTGTAATTTAAAAAAAAAATTAGTTCTAAAAAAGCTTTTTTATCATTAAATATTTTTTATTTGTCTAGATGTTTGCCTACATGTGGGTTTTTCTTTAAAAAATACTGACGATAATTTCTTAAATAATTTTTGCAGTCGTTTAAATGATTTTATTAACTATTTTATATACAGGGTGGTGCTACGAAAACTCTAATGAATTTCCGCAGTGTGTCCTTCACAACTAAAATATTTTAATAGTCTCGACACTTATACGAGCTATACGTATACGTCAATTTTGTCAATGTAAATAGTCACCCTTTATATTATTATACAATAGTAAGATTCTATGTAAAACTCGAAACTCGAAGATCATCTCTTAAGATTTAATGGCTTTTGGGATATTTTAATTTTCATTATTTCAAATAATATAGCTTTTAACTATAATGGTATTATTATTTCCAATAAAAATAAAATAAAAAAAAATCTGTTTTATTATAAAATAAAAAAATATATATTTTTTTATAACTGGATTTCGTACATTAACAAAGGGCGCCAAAATAATGTCCCGCACGCGGGCACCGCTCAGCCTTGCGGAGGCCCTGATGACAAGTGTTACGTTAACACAAAAATACATTTTTATTTCTGACTCAAGTAGTTAAACAGTATGCATAGAATATAATTGAATCAGAATTGTAGAAACAGTATAACCAGCAACATTACATATTACATCAGATAAAGTGTAATCCATCATCATTCAACAATTATTTACAATAAACAGCATTTACTTACAAGTCTGCTAGGTCCTTCAACATAATTGTTTTCTCCTTTTAAACTAGCAAGTCTTTCTCTAATCTCACTTTCACTCGGTGGAGGTCTTTTTCCATCATCTTTTAATTTTTCTAATCGATCAACCAATTTTTGATCAGCAGGAGACAGACCACTTCGTAGCGCTTGTATTTTAGTGTCTTGTCTATATATTGTTATTGGTGGTGCTGAAGGATTTTCCAAATTTTCTAATCTCCTAAAGTAAAACAGATTGATTAATGTATCTCCAAAAATTTTGGTCGCATATTTAAATTTCTTAAAAATTATTAGTTCGCTAGAAATCGATTGAATTTAGAAACTTTTTTGTCGAAAATTTTTGGTTCCAAAGTCAAAGGAGCCCACAGAAAAGTGTCTTAAGGGGGTTCCACGCCAAAAAGTGTAGCACTATCAGATTCTACATGTATTGTCATAAAGCCCCTGTGTACCAAATTTAGTGATTCTCGTTCAACAGGGTTCTGAGATATAAAAAAGACTATTCTTAGGGGCAGATTTCAGCGGGCTGTAACTCCAAAAGAGGGGGTCACTTGGCAAAAATGAAAAATACGGGTCCCCTTTTGTCTTAAGAATCTATGGTCAAATTTTGTTGCATTAATTTCGGGACGCCTTGTGTATTAGTTCTACAATAATAACCTCCAATACAGAAGGCAACAGTTTTACAAATAGATAATATTCATAAGCAACAAAACTTAAATTTATATGATACACTCAAGTGAACAATAAACGGGCCATCTATTATAATTTTAACTTCTATATTCTTATATTAAATTTTCAAATAAACAGTTGTACTTATAAATAAAAATATATATTTCTTACTTTATTTGTTTGTTTATTCCATGATATTTTTTTTATAGTTGTACATTCGCATTAAATATTATCATCAAATTTACAAGGATGAAACAAATTCTGATTAAAGTGTGAAGTTATACAAAATTTAAGCTGTAGTTTACTTAATGCATATTGTATACGTACAACTGCCTTAAAATTATTTTTTCTCCAATTCCGGATTAACTAACAGTTTAAATATACATGTATACGGTCATGTCTTATATTTGACCACTATGTATACAGGTGCATTGTATTAGCATCTATAACTTACTTTATAAATATTTCTGGGGGTGAAATGATATTTTGCTGTATTGTACTTGAACTTGATGCCAGTTTGGAGTAACATAGCTTACAAACATTATATTCTCCAGAACCTTTACAAGGAATTTTACATTTTTGTTTTAAACACTTACTACAGAATGACAAGCCACAGTTCGAACATCCCATCTAAAATATATTTTGTTTACTGCTTCAATTTCAAAACAATTATATTCTATAATACGTACCTCTTTATGAAAGAAATTGAATTTTGTACTACAATGATTGCACGACATTTTAAAACATTAATAGAAAATTTTAAATTAATAGAAACTGATTAGGTGTACAATACTTTTATTAAAATTAATCGGCCAAATTGATAATTTTTTCTTTATATTGCAATTTGCAATTTTGCTTTACTACCAACTGCCAGTACTGCCACTGTCAAAGTAGAAATTAGACGTCGGTAAACAAGAAGTAGAAGACAGTTGTAGTAAAATGTGCATGTTTAATGTTGGTAATAGTTCTCGTCAGCTGATAGACGTCAATCAGTGCCAGTGCCGCCAGTGGTGTTGCATTAACATCAGCTGTGTTGCCAATTTGTGAGAAATTTCTCAAATTGTGACGAATTTTAATGTGAATGGGAATTTGTAATTTGAATTTGAAATGGTCAGAAATTTTGAGCACTCACGAAATAGTCTCCAACACATGTTCCGGTAGGTTTATATTCTTATTTCGTAAATTAAAATTAATAAATTTGTCTAAACTATTTTGTTTCTGCCTAATCTCACAAAAAAAAAAATCCTGTAAGTCGTTCCTATGACATCAGGTTCAGTTATAAAAAAAAATTATGATCTCATAAAAGTTTCTGGAAACTACCTATAACGCAGAATTGCAAATCCTCTATAAGTTTATGGAGGTTACAGATTTGCTTATAGGTGTGTACAGTATCGACCCAAAAGAACCTTTCTATTACGTTAGGTATTTTTTTTTCAACAGTAATACTGTATTTTTTTGTTTAATTTATTTTTAATTTTAAGAATAATTGAGGAATCCTCCATGATGCGCACAAACTGGAGAGGAATATTTTGTTGCAACATTGGCAACACTGATCGTCAGCTCCCTGATATTTGATTTGACAGATTTTAACAGTACGTATACAAGTTATACAACATAACATACGTGTGTTTTCTGTTTTAATTTTTAAGTCTGGATGTTTACCTCAAGTATGGTATACACAATTATAATTGGTTTAATATGATCGAAATACAATTATAAATAAAATAATAAAGTATAGTAAGTTATGAATAAATCTTAATTCATTGTAATATGAATATAATTTATTAACATAGATAACGAATTTATATTACTTTTACTTTTTGTAAATAATGTGTTATGTTTTGTTCAAGAATAAAATAAATTGTATAATATATTACATTGTAGAGAATGATAACAGGTTTTAAAAGACAAACAAATAACAAATAGTAATAAAAGATTGAAGTACCTATGTTGGTTGGTACATTCATCAAAAATAGGGTTGAAAAAAATTACATATGTATGTACTTATGTTTTATTTAAACATATACAAAGGAATTTTTAAGTAAATTTAAATTGAACTATGAAAATAACAGATTTTCCGTATTCGCCTATCAACTGAAAAATAATTTGAAATATTTATTTTCAGAGATGTATATTGAAAACATTGATTGAATATAATCGGAAACAATGAGATTAAAAAAGGTTGTGGCTATCTTTGGATCTTTAATTTTGATACTTATTATTTTTATGATATATTCTACAAAAGATTTAACAGGATTTCCAAATAGAAGGTCGTCCATAGACCAAGATTTTCAGGATGTAAGTTATTTTAATATTCTCTTATAATAGATATATTGCATATTTTTGTCTTCCAGAATAAACTGATCCACTTTGAAGACCGATTAAAACAACTTGAGGATGATCTTAACAAGCATAACAATGCGGTGTCTGAAATAAAACTAGTAATGAAAAATATGCTTCAACCCAGCTCCAGCACCCATTCTATAAAAAACAACTCTGTGCCTTCTGTAAATTATTTGCGTAAACGTTTTGCTGTTTCAGAAATAATGTATGATGTAAGTTGCCCAGTGCAGGTCAATTTTGTACCAAAAATGGATATCCAAATGCTTGATTTATATAAAACTCTAAATTTTGAAAATGTAGATGGTGGTGTTTGGAAGCAAGGGTGGAGAATAGAGGTCGATGAAAAAGATTGGAATAGGCATAATAAATTAAATGTGTTCGTCGTTCCTCATTCTCATAATGATCCTGGCTGGATAAAAACTATTGAAGAATATTATACAACACAGACTAAACATATTCTTGATAATATGTTGAGTAAACTACCTGAGGACCCCAGAAGAAAGTTTATATGGGCAGAGATATCGTATTTTTCCATGTGGTGGGATGAATTGGAGGAAGATGATAAAGAAAAAGTTAAAAGGTAAGTTAGTAAAAAGTTATTGAATGAATGAATATTCATATACCGGGAGATCCAGAATGATTGAAGTGTTTGGAGATCGCAGCCTGTGCCTGTCTCTGTCAATACTACAGAATTTTATATGCTAAATATGGTGTTAGAAACAGGCTGTGTTCCCCAAACGCTTCAATCATTCTGGACGTCTGTACTTGAAAATTTAGGTTGTTGACATATCAAAATAAAATTTTTTTCTTTTTGACATAACCAAAGTATGTACTTTCATTTACATACAATGAGAAAAAGACAATATCTAAGCAAGTATACCATTTTTTATGTTGATTACCTTACAATTTATTTTGTTTTATCACAGAGAAAAATGCTTTGTCAAAACTCTCTTTTATAAATTGTTTGTATTCTCTTTGGTTTTCAAGTATAATTAATTATTTTTAGTCATCATCAACACATTTTCAGTACAAATCTGATTTAATGTAATAAAAAATCGGAATTAATTGATAAAAATTAAATAATGCTTTATGGAGTACAGAAACTTGTAATTGAATTCAGTTAAAAAAAGAATCTAGATGCGCAAAAGATATATAACCCCATAGACAAAATTTTTAACTGATATTAGGATTAAGAACTGATTAGGATATCGAATGATACCTATTATGATTAACTGATATTAGGATATTAACAAGAAACAACTACTCTATGGGCTACATGCTTATGAGTAACTTATTTAGTTACTCATATGTAGGGTTGCCATATTTGGCAAAAGTATCGTCAGAACGGTGTAGAGGGGGAGAGAAATAATGAGCGAAAATTTGTTAGTAATTTTATATTATACTTTCAGAAACATAACATGTTGTATAAATAACAATAATGTTTTAACTTGTGGTTGCGGAAGAGAAGAAGCGCTTGATTGATAATACTTCTCAGATGATTTTACCTTTTTTAGCAATTCATTTTGTCCTCTTGCATATCGATAAAATTTTGTACATGTTATATTACTTGACATTGTAAAATTGCTTCCATAGTTTCTGGAAGTAACCGATTCCTATCATCTGTCCACTGAGCAGACATCAACGAAAAGACTCTCTCTACTGTGGCATTATAGGTGGGAACTGCAAACAAATATTAACAGAATTTTAATATTAGGGATTTTTATTCATAGTGTTCGGTATTCTTGAAAAAATAAAGCCACCTCTCTTCAACAGAACCTTTAAATTTCCAATCCTCTGAAGAAAGACTGACATAATGTCATTAATTTTAACCACGTGTTCGGAAGGCCTAATAAAAACAGAAAATCAAAAAAAAATTTTTTCTCGACCTTTTAAAAAATAAGCAAATTAACCCTTAACTCCCATTAATTCCGCAATCCACTTCGTAATAGGGAACGTGCCACGTAGGCCGGCAGAGTACACAACAATCGGACGTTGTAGAGAAACAACTGGTTTCCTAGTCGTTGTCTCGTAAAGTTTTGCAATTGCTTTCAAAATCAAAGTGCAACAGATCTCAATTTTATTAAGACTATGGAAGAATGAGTGAGTGTTTTTTAGCCGTATTTGCCATTTTGAAGAAGTAGGTACCATACAACTCTGAGAAATAATAATTTACACAATGAAGTATACATACTACAAACTGAATAATTACCTACTTGAACATTCGTCGGTTTACTGCCAAAAATGACCAAGTCGAGAAATTCCAATTTACGTTTTTCTTGCCCAAATCACTTTAAATTATACATATCGACTTGGTGACCTTCCAAAGTCTTTTCTCCAATACTTGCAGTGGGCAAAATCGTAACCAATTTATAGCCGTTCTCTTTTTATATTGTACAGAACACGCATGTAGAATTTGTTCAACATTATTTTTTTGAGAATTCACATATGGAAGCAAAATGTTTGCATTTTTACGCACAATGATCTGCTGAATATTTCTCGTCTATCACGCTCTAAACACAACAAAAACAAAAGAAGGAGCCCCTACAAAGTTAAAGAATTGAGATTTACAGATTTTCTTGATTTAAAAACTCTTGCCAATAAATTCATTAAGAATAAAAATAAAGATGAATAGGACAACAAAGTGGAATGGCTGAAAATTAAATGTATATGTTACGAAAAAAACAAAACTGGGTGTCATTTTATTTAAATATAGGGTCTCGTAAGATCAGTTTCTTATACAAAAATATATTGGCAATAATATAGTACCACCCGGGTACCACGAGTGGCACAGATCCCTTACGGTAGATAAAAACAAAGAAAACAGAGTACCAAAGCCAGCACACTCGGATTCAGATAGTGCAGAAGATTAATGTTTTATTTTTATCTTTCTTTTTATCTTTGTATTATTTTTTTATTAATAAAAATAATGGAATGATTTTGACCAAGACATTATTTGTCCTTTTTTTTGCAGCGCAAGAGACCAAGTCAGTTTTTTTTTGCTAAATTTGTGATGTTAACTAGCAGTTTTTTATGCCATAATATCATATTTGCTTATTTGCAAGTATAAGTAATTGTTAACAAAACGTAAAGTGGACTAAGTAAGTATTGGGATTTTATGATAAAGTCTAAATTTTCCAATGTAGTTTTCTTAAAACTAGTCAAAAGTGACTTGAACACTTTTAGCAATAAGTCAACGCTATGTAATATTAGAATCTCATATTCACTTAAAAAACAGTGAAAATGTTAAGAATAGGTATTAAAGTTAGATTAGTGACCGAACAGTACAGTAGGTCAAGATTCATTCTCGATGTAGGTCAGTGGTCAGGGGCGGTCCGAAAAGGAGTTTAAATAATGATTTGAAAATATTATTTTCCTTCGTAAATATGAATTTTAAAATTTTTTAATGGTGTATTTGTATCCTACTTATTTTTTCCTATATTCCCTTAAATTAATGACACTATGACTGAAACACCCTATATTATATTCGCAAGTTTCGTTCATGTGCTGCAACTCAGTACACTGTTTTTAATTAAAAATATATAGTGGCATCTGCTTGTTTTCTGATAAATAAATGATTATATGATTAGAAAAGGAATACTGTTTTTTTAAACCAACAAATATACAAGGTGCGGCAAGATAAGTTCCTTATTTGAAATGAGCTCTCTGAAGCTGATGGGAGTCCCAAGTGACTGTATGTGGTCTTGTTCCGAGAGAGGGGATCCTAAAGTTTTGTTAACTTATGTCTGAGTCGTCATCATGCGTTGGAGTAAAGAGCAGCATGCGTTTACCTCAGAGGCCTACTTTTCCAGCGGTCATTTGATTGTTTTTAACCCAGCGTGCCTTCCGAAATTGCTTCAATTTTACACCATTGGGTCTTGTCCCGGACCGGAAGTCAATTCTTTTTCAGGGAAACTGGTTCTGTGCAGAAAAGAAGAACTGAAAACGCACGTCCCATCAAAACATCTGAGAACATCGAAGCACTAAGGGTTAGGCGAACTATGCACGATGAACTTCATTTCCATCAGTACAAGTTGGCCTTTGTGCAGAAACTTTGTGAACGAGGCTTTAATGCTCGAAGAAATGCGTGTGAAGCACTTCTTGAAAACGTGCTTGTGTTTTTCACTAATGAGGCTCATTTTAATTTGACTGGATATGTCAATAAGCAAAATATGCACTACTGGGCTGCCAACAACCCCCGAGAACTCCATCAAATGCCTTTGTATTCACAACGTGTCACCGTTTGGTGCGCAATCTCGGCAAACAGCAGAATTCGGTTCAACCAGTATATCGACAATGGGGGGTGTCTCTTATCCAATATAATTTTTAAAACCATGTAAACTCCAACTTTAAATGTTTAACTTTTTAATAAAAAAAAAAATTTAAAATACATGTATTTACTACCTTTTGTTTTATTGCATTAGGAAATAAGGATCTTGCCGCATTTTGTATACTCTAAATTGCAACAAAAATATAAACAAATAAATTATAAATGAGAAAATAAATATAATGTGTTATTAACTATTGCTTTAAACCATCCTATGGGTAAAAGTTTGCCGTGGTAGTTATTTAATAGTAAATGTTTTCGAAATCACGATTTTTCCTCATCAAAGAAAACACCTGGAGAAATGAAATGGTAACTCGGAACCCGAAGATGTACCATCAAAACCCTAAAACTCCGGGTCAAACCTAGAGATCTGGCAGCCCTAATAATACATCAGGCAAGAATTTTGTCTGTGGGATTAAATATTATTTGCATTCCTAGATTTTTGGTATTGAGGTTTGACTTGATTTGAAAATATTTAAAAAAATAATTTTTAATTTGTTTGAATTAGGTAATGTCTTTAAAATAAGTATCAAATATAAGAGCTAATAATAAACATAAGTACACGCAGTTGATTTAGTGTTTTCGGTTGTTTGAAGAAAAAAAAATTATTGTAATGCCTTCTAGCTGCTAACTGAGACAACATCGGATACGGATAAGTTTAGTTAAATCATCTTAATTTGACACTAAGTATATGTATGTATACCGAATATTAAGACACCCTGTATTTATTTACCAAATATTGTTTTACTTTAACTGCAGTTTTGTTAAAAAAATTTTACTAAATTTTATACATAGAAATGTATATAATTTCTTGCTGAGTTCTATAATTTTACTTCATCAAATGAAGTGGATTTTATTATATTTTAAATATAAAACTTAAAACAATATATTTTTTCAAATATAGCCAATTGTAATAATGCGGTGGCCAGTAGTTTTTCATGGAGAATTAGATGATAAGACAACTGGTTAACTGGTTTTCCAGGAATTTGCCTCAATACCCGCCCAACTTTCCTATCCGTCCCTGGCAGAGGAGATAGAAATTGTACATACTTATTTGTGTGATTTTTTTGTTATATATTTTATTTATACACTTCTGATAACTTGACAGGTTGTTACGAAACAATCAATTGGAAATTGTAACTGGTGGATGGGTAATGAATGATGAAGCAAATTCACACTGGGTATCGATTTTACATCAGCTTACAGAAGGTCATCAATGGTTGCAGAAAAATTTAAACTACACACCTATAAGTAGTTGGGCTATCGATCCATTTGGAATGAGTTTGACACAACCCATGTTGCTGAAAGAGATGGGTTTGCAAAATATGTTGATTCAGCGTGTGCATTATTCTGTTAAAAAACAATTAGCTATGACACAACAATTGGAATTTAGGTGGAGGCAGTTGTGGGGTAAGTAATATAAGTGTGCCCACATAGTGTTTTAGATGAAAAAGAGAAAACTTCTTGTTTTCCATTTTATGTGAAAATTCTTGTTAAAAAACTTTGCTTGTGTTCAAATGTACAGAAATGTAGTTTTAAGTATACCAGGTGTCTCCCCTATTAAGAAATTATATAATTATTTCCAACATTGAATTTGCATAGGATATCCCGATTGTTGTTATCGTTGCTTGTGATGGTGGTAATGACAGAAAATTTTTGAGCAGAAATTTGAGTTTGAAAAATGAATCAGCTTTTTTAAAAAATAATCGCTATCATATTTTTATTAATATTAAATAATTATACAGGGTGTCCCATAAGCACATGATCAAATAGGTACTGCAACATCCTTTGGCTCAAAAGAAGACGATCTGACCTAACTTCCATTAAGAAAAAATGTCTGGCTCCTTTGCCATTGACTGTCAAAGTTCTTGAAAAAAAAAATGTTTTTTGTAATATCTGGAGAATGTTAGATTTTAACCCTTTCGCTGCGCAATACGTCTGAACGTAGCTACCGCGCCGTGCGCGATTGTTTATCGCGTGCGAATATACGTCTGGAGCAGTTAGACCACTTATAGTTTTACATTATGTTGTGTTAAATTACGATTTACGATAAATTTTACAATTTTATTTTGAATAAAATACAGTATATGTACATAATAATGTATAGAAACTGAAAGAAACATGAACAATCTTGGTACTATTACCAGTACCTCTCTCCATAAAAATATTTGTCACAATCGGTATAAGCTCGCCCGCAAAAAATTCGCCTTACCAATTGCAATAACCGAGTCACTATGCGCACAGTTGCGAATATATACGGTTTGAGCAGCCTGATCCAATTTAACTATTCATGCGAATTTATCCGTCTGGAGCAGTTTGAGCCCTATAAATTTTTAGCGAATATATACGTTTGGAGCAGTGAAAGGGTTAATGAAACTTGCAGTGGACTTATTCCTAAGTAAAACTCATGTTTTGATGAAGCAACCGCATTCATCTGCCTTGGGCTAGTGGTAAATTCTTGAGTGTCTTGGTACAAGAATTACCAGAACTTTTTATTTGGTCGCTGGAATTAATTCATTTTATTTTTATTGATGCATCAATCCTTTTTCGAGATTTTCGTGCTCTTGGTAAAATCTTGTAGCATTCATTGTTTTTACGCAAAAATTTTTTTTTCAATTTTAGACAATCATTATCACTACTACTCAAGTACAACAAATACTCACTACTATCGTAGTAAGTATCTTGGTGAAATCTTGTAGCATTCATAGTTTTTACGCAAAAAATTGTTTTCTGTTGCGATTTAACAATTTTAAATGTATCGCAGTAAATCTGCTCTTTTACAAGAAGCAACTTTCTCTAATAATAATTACCAATTCTTTTACCTAGGATATCAATATTGAAAGTAAAATGGTCGCAACTTTAAAGTCTGTCACAATGCGACGGATTGAATATCATTTTACTTCATTAGATTTATTTTTTGTTAACACTCAAAAAATGTAAAGACGTACTTAAGAAAGACATAATTTTCTTTCTCGAAACTGGATAATAGTTACATAGATACGATAGATGATGGTGGAATTACAAGACGTGTTCGATATGCCCCCCATTTTCCTGGATGCATAGCTGGATCCTTCAATTGAAATTGAATTGACCCATCCTCAACATTTTTTAATCTTTCCGTATTACGTCCGCCTCGTTTTGAATCCTACGCAATAATTCTTCCTGGAATTCCACAGGAGTAGCATACACTTTATTTTTCAAGGCCCCATAGAAAGAAATCTAACAACGTTAAGTTGGGGGACCTGGGGGGCCATTCGACAGGAACATCTCTCCCTCTTCTTCCTATCCACTTGTGTGGAAAAGTATTATTTAAATGTGCAGTTACATTTGCACTAAACTGCGGAGGAGCACCATCGTGCATGAACCACATCTGAGCACGAAGATCGAGAGGGACATCTTCCATTAGAACCGGAAAAGTATTCGTAAGAAAATTGAAATAATTTTCGCTATTCAAGCGGCGCAGCATGACATAAGGACCCAGAAGGATATCACCGATGATCCCGGCCCAAACATTTATTGGAAATTCCACCTGAAAGTGGCTAATACGCCTCGCACGAGGGATTTCATCTGCGTAATGGTGAATAAAATTTGGCTAGTGAAATTTGGATCGCGTGTCGACACTCCTTAAATAAAGGGGTGAAATTGAAGTCCTCTCAAAATGGTATAGTAAAAGCTCCTGAATAGACGTCGCATGATAAGGATGGAGAAGCTGCTGTCTTATGATGCGATTAATTGTACTTTTTGATACGCCAAATTCCACTGTCAGACGGCGAGTACTGATATTTGGATCTTCAGCGACCCTATTTAAAACGTCTCCCTCAATTGCTGCATTTCGTACTTCAACGTACAGTCAACGGCTGGAACACCTAATTGCCCAGTCTCCCGCAAACTCTTTTCAATCCATGTAAATCGGTAATTTGGAACCCGTCGATTTGGGTATCGTGCGACGTACACGCGTACACTCCCACCCAAGTTGTCTTCGCAAAACCCTAAGACTTTGATCAATCGGTCATCTCTTCATTAGAAAACGCCATTCGAAACGAATTAATTGACAATTCATTTATTATCAAATGACATCATCGCTTACTACGATAGAAGTAATTGTAGTGAGGAGTTGTTGTACTTGAGTAGTAGTGATAATGATTTTTGCATAAAAACTATGAATGCTACAAGATTTTACCAAGAGCACGAAAATCTCGAATAAGGACTGATGCATCAATAAAAATAATAAAGTGAATTAATTCCAGCGACCAAATAAAAAGTTCTGGTAATTCTTGTACCAAGACACTCAAAAATTTACCACTAGCCCAAGGCAGATGGACGTGGTTGCTTCATTAAAACATGAGTTTTACTTAGGAACAAGTCCACAGCAAGTTTAATTAAAATCCATCGTAACATTCTCCAGATATTACAAAAAACATATTTTTTCAAGAACTTTGACAGTCAATAGCAAAGGAACCAGACATTCTTTCTTAATGAAAGTTAGGTCAAATCGTCTTCTTTTGAGCCAAAGAATGTCGCAGTACCTTTTTGATCATGTGCTTATGAGACACCCTGTATAGGTAATAAGAACAAAAGAATTATTTTTTGTGTGGATAAAATGCCGTTTTCTTATAAAATTTAAAAAAAATTAATTATATGAGATTAAAAATTAAAATTTATTGTTGTTTCAAATATGAAATGTCGCATACCTTTTCAATTTCTTCCTTTCATTTCTTTTTTTGAATTAATTGGACCGCCCACCTATATCTCCTCCACTGGTGGCTAGTAATACTTATTCATATAGCGACAAACTGCCTAACCGTAAGTCACATCGAATTTTACTTAAATATCTCTATTCGCTTTCAAGATATTAAAACATGTCCTTTTTTTTGGAATTCTTAACACCCTGTATCTCGTAAACGAAGCGTTTTCGGCTGTATGGTTATATATATATATATATATATATATGTGTATGTATGTCATATTCTCATTGCAGAACAAAGCTATGAAGCTCTTAATCTTAAAACATCAAATTTAATGCCTCATATTACTGACTGGTTTCAATTCAATTTATTACTAATAAATGCTAACAAAACAAATTCTATTTTATTTAGGCATAGCAGAAATGACCATAACTTTCCCAAAAAAATAAATATTGATAATACTGACATTGCGTATATAAGTACCACTAAATTTCTGGGAATCACAATTGATGAGCACATGAACTGGAGAGCACCTGCACAACTGCTTTGTGGTAGATTAAGTAAAATCTGCTATACACTTAAAGAACTTAAAAAGGTGGTGGATCAGAAAACACTTATTACAGCATACTATGGACATTTTTATTCTGTTATGACCTATGGAATTTTGTTTTGGGGGGATTCACACAGTTGGGATCTATTTGTGATTCAAAAGAGAGCAATCAGAATTTTATCAGGCCTAAGACTAGGTGCTTCATGCCGAGAATCTTTTAAAATATTAAAACTATTGACACTACCGGCTGCTTATATTTATGAATGTATGAAGTTTGTTTATTGTAACATGACTTTGTTTGAAAATCATCTAAATCCAAATATGCATAATACGAGACATAATGATAAGTTTTGTTATCCTAGTCATAAGACAATCTTATTGGAAAAGGGATGTATTTATAAGTGCTTGAAAATATACAACTTGCTTTCAAAACATCATAAGGAGATTAGATCATTTAATACTTTCAAGACCATTATTAAGACGAAATTAATTAGTGCAGAACCATATCAAATTGAAGATGTAACAGAAGATACTTTTAGATAAATAATTATGGAATCTGTTTTTAAACTTTTTACTTTCGTTATAATTTTTGTTTTTTGTTGATTGTTTGACACTATTTGTTCATTGTGTGCTTGCTTGATTTTAACAAATTCTTGTTTAGCTTGTGCTTTATTTTAGCATTTAAGTTTTTACTGCTGTTATTACGAAGAATTCATTACCATTTTATCGGGGACCACACAGGCGGAAGGTGTTGAGCGACCCAGGTCTCTGGTAGGCTGCCACAGTCACGTTCCGAGCCTGCCTTAGGTCACCCATCCCAGTTCCAGTCTACGTCCGTGATGCTTACCTCGGCCGATCGAAATCCATCGGCCAAGACACCCGGCTAGGCGGTCCCCTAGTTATATATATACAGGGTGCTCCAGATTTTAATAGACATACTTCGGGAAAGTACTAAACAGCAAAAATTAACATCACTTTGCTCTGTGAACATAGGCGCAAAAAGCCACCTTTTATGAGATACAGAGCGTTGAAATTAACAAAAATTAAAAAAAATTTTTTAAATATCTGGAAAACCACTTTTATCAAATTTATTCAAATTTGGTACACATTTTTTTTTTTAATAATTCTAATTCTGTATGCATACAGTCCAAATTCAAAAACCAGTGGCGGAGAAACATGGATATCGTTTCCCTATTTAAAGTAAAACTTCTACGCCACTGAATTAATTGGTAATATGAATACATTTTATAACGATCTGAAACATTCCGGATGGAAAAACATTCTTTTATTTTTGTCGAAAAGTAAATAGTTTACGAGTTATGAAACATATTATCCCAGTAAACATCTTACCACCTTGACTAAATTCCGATCTGATTTTAAATTGGACAATAGCCTCTTCCAGTTAATTGAGGACATACCTTCGGACCAACGAATCGGGACCTGATTTCAAATGAACGGGGCGCCAGCACATTCTGGCCAGGTAGTTCGTGAATGGCTGACTAACAACTACTAAAACAGATGGATTGGTCGGAATGGCTCCATACCTTGGCCACCTAGATCACCTGATCTAAATATTTTAGATTATTTTATTTGGGGGTAACCTACAAAAATGACGTTTATGCAGTTTTAATCAGAGCTGCTGTGAATTCTATATCCAAAAGATGCCAAAAGTGCATTGAGTTTGGAGATGGACACTTCGAACAATTGATTTAATTTATTTATTTTTCATATAACTTTACTTGTTGCTCGTGTTACTTGAAAGTTGAGCTCGACATGTTTGCTATGATACTGAAAAAAACTGTATCAAATTTGGATAAATTTGATGAAACGGTTTTCCAGTTATTTAAAAAAATTATTTTATTTTTGATAACTTCAACGCCCTGTATCTCATAAACGGTGGCGTTCTGCACCTATGTTGATAGAGCAACGTGATATTAATTGTTGTTGTTTAGTACTTTCCCGAAGTTTGTCTATTAAAATCTGGACCACCCAAATTCATTTTATTTTTCCCTATTTCAACGTTTTGTTTACTTGGATAATATGTCTCATAACTCGTAAACTTTTCGACAAAAATAAAAGATTGTTTTTTGATCCAGAATGTTTCAGACCGTTATAAAATATATTCATATTACCAATTAATTCAGTGGCGTAGAAGTTTTACTTTAAATAAGGAAACGATATTCTTGTTTCTCAGCCACTGGTTTTTGAATTTGGACTGTATACGTACAGAACTAGGAGAAATATTTGAAAAAAAATTCGGATAAATTTGATGGTTGTTTTCCAGATATTTAAAAAAATTGTTTTATTTTTGATAATTTTAACGCCCTGTATCTCATAAACGGTGACTTTTTGCGCATATGTTCATAGAGCAACGTGATGTTAATTTTTGTTGTTTAGTACTTTCCTGAAGTTTGTCTATTAAAATCTGGACCACCCTGTATATATATATATATTTTACTTATTTTTCCCTGAGGTTCATGTCCTTAAAGTTTGTCAACTTCATACTCAAACATCCTGTATTATATGCTGAAACATATATTTATTTATGAGCTACTTAACTGTTCTGGATAAAACCAACTTCTGTATTTTAAACCATTTCATTGAGGAGGATACCCTGTATCTGTTGGTTCACTAGAAAATATATTTGAACATAAGGAGATTTTTTTAACAAAATTAACTTTGTAATGATTGTAATTGTTGCTATGTTGTACAAAGTGGCAGAAAATTAGAACTAGGATTGTCGAACTTTTAAAATAAGAATAATTTTGAAAAATCGTTTTTTTGTAGATACTTAAAATTACACAATTATACTTTAATATCGACAATAATTTTAAAATTATGTCTAAATTTGAACACAATTTTAGATTGAAATTTTGGAAGGTTTATATTATATTATTATATTTAACTAATTTTAATGTTAATTGCCTAAACCTAAAACCCGTGGTTGAATTATCTACTACTTTTAATTCTATTCAGGTGTTACCCTTTATTTCAGATTGATCCTTTTATTAAAATGTAGAGCACTATAATATTTACTGTTTCAGCTACACCTATGACTACTTTAAAAAAAGATAAGTTTATTACGCCATATCATTTCAAAACCTCAGAAATCGATTATTTATCTCTATATGAAAAATGTTTGTGTTTAACCAAAAATATTAAATATTTGTACACACAAAAGCATGTGCTGATTTACTAACTCAAGACAATAAATATTTACTAACGAATACAAAATTTTCATTCATATGTGTGCTCAAATATCGAACATCCAGACAAAAATAAAAAATGTCTAATGATGATCAGGAGCATATGTGTTAATTCATTTCTTTTTTTTAGATGGGACTGGCAAAACTGATATGTTTACTCACATGATGCCTTTTTATTCATATGACATTCCGCATACCTGTGGACCAGATCCTAAAATATGTTGTCAGTTTGATTTTAAGAGACTTCCAAATCATGGTTTATATTGTCCATGGAAGGTTCCTCCTCAGGCTATTACAGATAAGAATATTGCAGAAAGGTAATTATAACAAACACTAAATACCCAAAAGCTGTTTATATTTTTTTATATAGATAGTGGAATAGTAATTTTATTTCTAGAGCTCAACTTTTATTAGACCAGTACAGAAAAAAGTCAAAGCTGTTCAAAACGAATGTAGTGCTAGCTCCACTGGGAGACGATTTTAGATATGACCATCCTACAGAATGGGATGTTCAGTATGAAAATTACCAAAAGTTATTTGATTATATGAACTCTAACCTCAATCTAAATGTAAAGGTATTAGAATCGCAATAGAAGTGTATTAGTTATTAAATTTTGAGATATTTTTCAGGCACAATTTGGTACACTATCTGATTATTTTGCAGCACTTCACAGAGAGTCGAAAAGCTTTGATTTTCCCATTTTATCAGGAGATTTTTTTACATATGCAGATCGAGACGATCATTATTGGAGTGGTTATTACACTTCTAGACCTTTTTACAAACGAATGGATCGAGTTCTGCTGTCATATGTGAGGTATATACGAGGTTTGATCAAAACGCAACGGGAATTTTCAAATTGCGCGTGTTGTATCTTGTCTATCGAGTTGCTTCTTTTTTGTGTATTGTCATGACGTACCTGTCAGTTTTTAGGCAACTGCCATGCTTAGTTTGTGTTTAGCGAGCTAATGTGTAAGACTTACCTCAGTATTTTTGGTGATTTTGTTGAAATGTCAGATTAGAGAGTTTGTTTGATATTTTGTGTTAAAAACGGAATTAGGCGCAACGAAGTGTGCAAAATATTAAAAAAGGCCTTTGGCAACGATACTATGTTACACCCACAAGTTTATCAATCAAATATTTTCAGGAAGGCCAAGAAGACATCGAAGATGGTCAAATGTGCTACTTCTAACTATAATTATGAATCATCATGAATTTTTACTACCCGGTCATACAGTTAACATGGAGTGCTACTTAGTTTGTGCAATTTTCATGAGGTAATCAGGAGAAAATAACAAAAACACGAGAAGCAACTCATAGATTTTGCACCACGACAATGCACCGCTACATACCGTTCTGCTTTTCCAACAGTTCTTGGCGATACACAACACCTATTTTTCAAACAGGAAAGGATACTCAAAGGACAACGTTTTCAACAATAGATGAGATAAAGACAAATTCGCAAATCGTACTCAAGACGATACGTAAAGACGTTTTACCAGTATATCACAAACTGGAAACTACATTGGAATGTGATAAAAACTGAACATTAAATAAATACTTTCTTATACCTGTTTTACATTGACAATTTATTGATGAATTAATTGATGAAGTCGCTTCATTAAGAATTTGGACAAGTGTAATGCACCAAATCTGCTGTAAAATAACTTCATGAATTTATTCATCAAGTTCTTAACGAATTAGAGCATGTTCTAATTTTTGTCAATTTCTTCGTGAAGTTCAGAAGTACCAACCCAACAGATTTCCAGCCTCAGATCAGTAATGAGGTTATGTTATTGGAATATGTAAATAATTGTGTGGCGCCGTACTAGTTTTGCATTGTTTTTACCGATTTGTTACTTATAAAAACTAATATTTATATAATATGTGTTAAACCGATACCGCTGTTGTATCATTACAATTATGAGTGGAAAGGTGACATTTTTGAAATTCAGAACTGACTCATGCGTCGAAAAACCTGACAAAGTCTATAGCAGTGTAAAACCGCACTGTTTACCAATAAATTTGTGAATTAATTCATGAAGAAATTCGTCAATTTATTCATGAATAAATTGTCAATATAAAACAGCTATTAGAAAATTAACAATTCCTGTTACTTTTCGATCAAACCTCGTAAAACATTTATTTTAAAAAAAGTTAATGCCTGACTGAATTATTTTCAAGCAGGTGATACATATTATGAATGTTTATTTTGTTTCTAGAGCTGCAGAAACCATCCACACATTAGCACATCTCAGTAAAAAACCTGGTTCTTCTTGGATAGCGGATAAAGAAGATGGTTTGGAAAAACTAATTTTAAATGCTCGATTAGCTCTGTCATTGTTTCAACATCATGATGGAATTACTGGAACGGAAAAAGATCATGTTGTTATAGATTATGGAAAAAAGTAAGTCAATTTCTATATATTTTCATTCCAATTGTTTAAATTGATGATAAGATAGATTTTTAAGAGGTGTAGAATGACTACTCTATTTATTTATTTATTTATTTAACTTTAAAATTCCAATATTTGATAATCCTAATTTGGTTTATCCCTTTGAACTCTTGAATTAGAAGAAAAAACACAAAAACAGTCAGTCCTTTTTATTCATTATTTCCAAAAATAAAAAAGTGTATATAAAGGTTAAAGTCAAAATTGCAATTTTAAACTTGAAACTAAACTAAAAAATTATGAGTTTAAAGCAGTGGTGGCTCGTGATATTGAGAATAGGTGAAGTATCTTTTTTCACTGACTAAAAAGGAAAAAAGTGGCGCAGGCGAAAATTTTTAAATTTTCAAGGTCAAACGGATTTAAATGAATCTAGAAATTTTAAGTTACATTTATAATATTATAGAAAAACTGAAGTTTGCAAGAAAGATTTTCCTTTAGATTTTATAAAAAAATAGAAACATTAGTTCAACTAGCGAACATTAACGCACACTGGACATGTATGTTCCAAAGAAGCTTTGTGGTTACGACAACCTCGCGTGACGTTCCCAAAATTGTTAAATCTCTCCTTATTCCACATGCCCGACTTTACACCCACAATTAACATTCACACAACCACTTGTACTCCGAATACCATTCATTCCGAAAGTACACTTTGTCTTTTGACTTCCCCCTTTTTCCACATCGAGAGAAGGCACAGGTCTCTCGCAATTTAAAAAATCCTTTTTGTACTAAATTTTCCATCTGGAAAATGGCATTTCCAATAAAGTACATACTGGATCATACATAGGAAACATTTCTACAATTATTATACAAAACAAATATTAACTAAGAACCTTTATAATCGTGCACTAGGCGATGTATCATATACCAGGTGATGGGCGATGACAATGCTGTTTCAATTTCTTCGTCACTCGTTCCCCACACCGTAGCTTACTCCGGTGTTGGCCGCTTCGTTACCATGACAACCGCCATAAACAACGCTACGAAGAGAAGCAGATACAAACTGATTTCAATCTGCGTCACTTATTTATTTTATTTACAGTATAATCTCTATAATCCGGCACGTCACTACACCGGCACGTCCAGTAATCCGGCGTTATTTTTTCCGCGTTTGTTTACTATTCCTGAAGAATATAGTTTATACAGTTACAGTTTAGTTGAAAGATTATTTTACAGAAACATAAAAACATTACAATATACATATATATGCATACACAACTGTAATATGTATGTATCTATGTATCAATCTCTTTGTTAATAAACAATTAAAAATAACGTTTTTTAATTTAATACTGTTTACATATACATTTTCCATGAATCCGAATTTTCCAGTACTCCGGCACTCTTAGGTTTTTAATGGTGCCGGATTAGTGAGATTGTACTGTATTTATTGATTTTATTTATTTATTTATTTAAATTATTTGTCCAACAGTGAAAATCACCAATTACAGGACAGAGTATACAAATATATAATATTTACAAACATGTGAGCATACAGAACAAAATGTAAAGAATAAATATAACAAACATACCGGTAAAATAGTGTAATAACAAAAGAAAAAGAAAAAAAAGAAGAAAGAAATAAGAAAAAGCTGCAACTACTCCCTATGCATCATCAATTGTTTATGAATCATGAATTGTTGACACTTCTAAAAGCTATGTACAGATGTTGCAAACTACAGTTGAATATATCACTAGAGTTACAGATTAAGTTATAATTGTGTGACATAAAAGAAACAGGAGACTTCAATCCCACATTGGTACTAGAAGCAGAAGTATAAAAAGTAAGTGGAGAGCGGCAAGCCGGCCTAACTGTTAAGAAATTCAATTGACTTAGAATCTTGGGACAGTCTACTTTATTGTTTAATAGTGCATGTAAAAATTTCAAACTATGGAAGTGGTTTCTGTACTATAACGAGTCGAGATTGAAACGTGTTAATAGTATTTTGTAATCACATCCACGAGCAGGATATACGCCAACACAACGAAATGCGAGATATTTCAAAAACTTTTTTTGCACCGAATCAATTAAACTGGCTTAGTTAATATAAAAAACAATCCAAGCCGGAGAGCATTATTCCAATTTGGAACGGATAAATGCGTAAAATAATTTAAACAAAACGACATTATCTATGAATTCACGACGTTGTCTAATCACAAAGACCAGCGAACTAAGTGTTGAGGACACCAGATATTGAATATGATTTGAACACGTAAAGTTACTATCGGAATAGATTCTCAAATCTTTTATGGTATCCGTGCGTTATAAGATGTCCGAGTTAATTTTGTAATTGAATATAATGGGCTTAAGTTTACGTGAAAAATAAACGACTTTACACTTGGAGATATTTAAATGCAAATTATTTGAATCGCACCACTGGACTATTTTGTCTAATTGACTCTGAAGGTGAAGACAGTCATCATCAGTTAAGACAGTCAATGTAAGTCGCAATATCATTAACAAAGATGGAAAATAGGAGGGGACCTAGATTGGAGCCCTGAAGTACTCCAGAAGTAATAGAATACTGACTAGACTTAAAACCGTTGTAAGTGACATACTATAGACGATTTGACAAATATGATATGACAGTTGTAAAAAGTTGCCACAAAGTCCGTATACTTCGAGTTTATGGAGGAGTATGCCGTGATCAATACGATCGAAGGCCTTCGAGAAATAGGTGTATATGACGTCCACCTGCCCACACTGATCAATAACATTACATATAAACTGTGTGAAACACATCAAATTTGTGGTAGTTGATCTCTTTTCTATAAAACCATGTTGTTCAGGAGATATGCCTCTGAAAAGTGGAAACATACGATTATACAACGACATCTCGAAGACCTTCGCCAAATTGCATAACAAAGTAATGGGCCTATGAAGGGTCACCGCCTTTGAGGCTTGGACAAACACTTGCCACCTGCCACACACTAAGAAAAGTTCCGGTTTTAAGAGCGAGATTAAATGTATATCCCAGCAGGTTAGCCAAAATGAACCGACAATCACGAGCAAAGAAACTTATGTATACTATACGTTGTATGGTACGAGGTTGATGTTCGCACCCAACGAAGCAATATTTTTTTTAGAAGGCGTTTACCGCACAACTATTCTGTTTATTTCTCCGTATAAAACAAACAAACGCAATACATTTCCAATATAGAATTATACCTAAATTATAAAATTCATATAAAATTAACAATAATTTTAAATTGCACAACCAAACGGAAATTTTAGGTGAAGGGGTGCATCACTTCCGTCACCTGTCGAGCCGCCACTGATTTAAAATTGAAATTCTGAGTTTAAAGTTTGAATTCTGAATTAAAAAGAAAATCAATTAGAAATGGCTTTCATAGACTTTTAAACATAACTGTTAAAATATATATTTTTAATCTTACATGTTACTAGAACAGTTAACCTTGTGCTACTTTTTTTTTATTTTAGAATGTTATCAGCAATAAGTGGCTGTCAGCGAGTTATTCAAATATGTACCCACATTCTACTAAATGGTTTAGGTGCTGAAATTCCATCCAAAGATGCAAACTACTATAACATTGATGATGTTAGACATTCTCATGATGCTCTTTCTGACCACTATCAAATAACTATTGGAGTCCCTGAAATGCGTACAAAAAAAATTGTTATTTTTAATTCTTTAACTTCGACTCGGCACGAGGTCGTTACATTTTATGTTTCAACCCCTTTTGTTGAGGTTTGTTGAAAATGCGAATATATATTTATTGATACTAAACTTTATTAATAACTTGTAGGTTATGGATTTTCAAGGTAAACGAATAAAATGCCAGATTTCACCAATTTTTGAATATGGGTCAACGATGTCTCTAACTAAATTTCAGTTATCATTTATAGCAAATGTACCTGCTTTTGGCCTAGTTAGTTACACTGTGAATGCCCTATGGGAAAACGAAACTCCAAAGTTAGTATGTGTTTAATTTTTTTTCAACATTTTCTGGTTTTCCGAGGCCATTCAACATCGTAAAATATTTTTCACCTCAGCACTGAATTGTGGGACTGATGATTGAACAATTTAAAGTAAAGAAACTACTAAGCTTTTTTATTTTGATTTTATGTGGTGTTGTTTAATGGGAGTGTTTGTTAATTTTTAGGGAAACTGTTCATTCCGCAATAAAAATTTTTAATCATTATGGTGAGGTTCAGGCGCCAAGTGGATTTGATCCAGAAGTTTCACCAAGTTCCAGCGAATTTACTTTACAGAATTCTAGAATTACGGCTTCTTTTAACAATTTAGGTTTATTAAAAGCATTAAAAGTAAGAAAAACTACAATCCCAGTTCATCTAGATTTTGCCAAGTAAGTGAAAAAGAGATATTTTTTTATTATTTCTGTGTATAAAATTTAATATATTTGCCGCTTTAGGTATGGTGTAAGATATCGGCATAATGTGGAAACCAGTGGTGCCTATTTATTCTTACCCGATGGAGATGCGGTACCGTTACAAATAGAAAATGTGGCAGTTAATATTATAGAAGGACCATTAATGTCATCTGTAACTGTGCAGTTACCATATATGCACCACACTGCTATATTGTATAATAGTCCAGGTCAGTATTTCCCAAACTATGGGTCGCGACTCACTGGTGGGTCGCGAACAAATATTGAGTGGGCCCTGAAATGTAGGACGGATTAGAACCTTGTTCAGCAGCACACATCCGCGACCGCAAAAGACTTGACCCACTCGGCTATCGCCGCTGTAGAATTCTGTGGTTAAAAGTTATATTTAAGTTGTGAGAAGTGGTGAAGCTTAGGTTAAAGCTTGGTGGGGAAGCCTATCCCCTCTTACTTTCCCGGTTAGCATCACTGATGAGGGACTGTCAGAGCCAATCAGAGGAGTGGTGCGAGAGAGGAGAGTGCGGGCGGGGGCTGTGCTGCCGCCGTGATTGCGAGTTGGACGTCTTTTGTTTTTGTGTGGTTACGTTTCGTGTGTGCGGTGTGTGTGTTGTATTGTTTACCGTACGCCATTGTAATCTTTTTAAAAACAATTATTAACATTTGAAGATAATCATGGACAAGTGGTTGAAACGTGGAGCAAAAACTACGTCGCCGCCGCCAGTTGATTACGAACAAAGTAAAGAAAAGACAGAAGATGCTCTGTTACTTGACAAAAGTGGCACTGAATCTGACTTCCAAGCTCCCTCAACGAGTTCACATGAAACGAAGCGCTGGAAAGTTGTACGAAAATATGACTGAATATTTGAAATTAGGATTCACTTGGAATCATGACAGGTTAGATCCGCGTCCTCAATGCGTGATTTGCTACGAAATACTAGCGAACGAAAGTTTGCGTCCAAGTAAGTTAACGCGTCATATAGAAACTAAGCATTCTCATTTTAAAAACAAGCCAGTAGACTTTTTTCAAAGAAAATTGTTGGATATGAAATTTTCAAAAAATAATATGAAAATGCTGTATATGCCTCGTACCTCATTAGCTTGAGGATTGCCAGAGTGGGGAAACCTCATACCATTGGCGAAGACTTAGTCTTACCATCGATTAAAGATGCTGTTGGAGCCATGTTTGACAAAAAAAAAGTAAAGGAAATCGAACGCATACCACTATCCAATAACACTGTTGCACGACGAATTGACGAAATGGCTGAGTGGGCAGAAGATGAATTAATACGAAGAGTAGTTGGTAGTAAATACTATACTGTACAACTAGATGAGTCTACCGACGTTCAAGGCCTGTCTCAACTACTTGTTTTTGTGCGTTATATATGGCAAGGCGACGTGCATGAAGATATTTTGTTCTGCAAGCCAATTAGATGCGGAACAGGCTAAGAAATTTTCAATTCAATTGATTCCCATATAAAAGGAAAAGGTTTAGAATGGAAGAACTGTGTCGGTATATGCACTGACGGTGCGCGGGCTATGTGCGGGAAAAATAGCAGTGTGGTTACAAGAGTTCTTGAAGAAAGTCCCTGTGCTTTGTGGACTCTTTGTAGCCTTCACAGAGAAGCACTGGTTTCAAAAGCATTACCCGATGATTTAAAAACTGTGCTAAATACAGCTGTAAAAATTGTAAATTATATTAAAACAAGGCCCTTACAAGCACGTTTGTTTCAAAAACTGTGTGAAGAAATGGGTAGTCTTCATACATCTCTTCTTCTCCATATGGAGGTACGTTGGTTATCCAGGGGGAAAGTACTGACACGATTAGTGGAACTACGGAATAGAGTAACAATTTACTTAGAAGGAAAAACAGAATATATTGAACATCTACTGGATGAAGAATTCGTTCCCAAGTTAACATATTTGGCGGATATTTTTTCCAAATTAAACGAACTCAACTTGTATCTGCAAGGTTCAAACGGATCCGACATTTTTGCAGTTCACGATAAAATTCGAGCGTTCATGAAAAAGCTTATTTTGTGGGAGAGTTGTATTAAGAATGGTAAATATGATTGTTTTGAAACACTTGAAACCTTTATTGTAGAAAACCAAGTGCAGCCAAAGATGATCGTACTCTCTGCAATGTCCACTCATTTATCATTGTTAAGAAAAAACTTTGACACCTATTTCGGGGAAGAGATGAAAAAGCTCGAAACGTCGAATTAGATTTGTAACCCATTTCAGGACAAACTACCAACTAATATGTCGACAAAAGCAAGTGAAGAGCTCATTGATTTATCAGAAGATACATCACTGAAAAATACTTTCAATCGCAAGCAATTAACGAAATTCTGGCTCTCGGTTGCTGGGAACTATCCTTGCCTGTTTGATGAAGCTGTGAAAGTCCTCCTCCCCTTCACTACCTCATACCTATGTGAGGCCGGATTTTCGACTATGGTTAACATTAAAACTAAATACCGAAATAAATTGGACGTATCAAACTCACTGCGATTAAAAGTAACTAAAATTGAAATTGATGCTAAAACTGTAATGACCAAAAATAGAAAACAAATACATCCTTCCCATTGAAATAAACTGTTTGTAGGTTATTTAAGTATTAAATAAAAAAATATAAATATATTTAAGTTTTTTTTTTCTTATTTGAACAGCAGTCCTCATTGATATTGGTAACACTTTTTCCATAGTGACTGTTTTTGGAACTACAGTACAATTTAAGTAGTTCCGCAACTCATGACTGAGCATTACCAGTATTTATGCCCCCTTTTCTCTAACGCAGCCAATAGGTGAGTCGCAAATTTTTAAGTTTTTGTTAGATGGGTCGGAGTCCAGTCAACTTTGGGAACCACTGGTCCAGGTTATTATATGACGTGTTTTTCTTTCACCTTCACTTTTACTTTCTACATTAACTTATTTCTTTCACATCTACACATCTGATAATAAAAAAGTGATATTATTACCTAAAATCCACACCGACAATGAAATTCTAAGTATCTTAAAGATAACTCACAGTATCCGTCACTAGTTGATACAATAATTAGGGGTAGGTCGGGTAGCCCTGGACACTTAAATGAATTGCAAATAAAAATACAATAAACAAATTTTCTATCTTTATTTTTAATCTAATCTTAAAATCAAACTAGGAACTTTTTCAACCATATTAATCAAAAATTAGTAATCATAAAAAAAAAATTAATGAAATATATTAAAAAATACTTTGACCTTAATTTTTTGGCTACAAAAAAGATGGCGGGTAGCCCCGAACACGGTAATCAATGGTAGCCCAATCGTTTCTTGGCCTTACAAACATCACAATAATAATGAATATCTGAAGAATCCATATGAACACAGTCTGCATCGGCCCAGTCCTTGCACTCATGATACTCAATCCAGTCTTTAAAAGTTTTGCTACATATGATGAATTCGGTCTCTTTTCCTTGATCTACTTTAGAAGATTTAAATTTTTTTGTTATCTTCAACGTCTTTTTAGAGTTTTTACCTTTTTGTTTTTTTTTTCTTCGTTCTTTTTATTGACTTTACTTTTCTGTATGTTCCCTATATTTTTTTGTATTGCTAAGAGGTTAAAATTTCGCTATTTTAGGTTTTTCGAGCCCGTATTTTTTTGACGCGTCAGTAAATGGTAACAATGGATTTATTAAATCTGTCGTGCTAGTTGAAGGCACCGGGTTCAGTTGCAGGCAATGTAATGGAAGGTACTGGCGATGATAAATTGACTGCTAAAGGCTGATTTCGGCATATTTCTATAGCAATAGAAATCATTTTAAAATAATTTTCATAAATAAACAAATAGGCCCATTCAGTGATATATAATTTTAAACTTTTTCTTTAGTATTTAACCACCTAAATATATCTTAAAAAAATTAGGTCAATAGGATTAATAATAAGTGATATATTTAATTCTGAATTTGTAAGACCCTTAAAAAGGTCAACACTGCGAGAGAACAGCTAATGACGTCACGATACCGGCCACTCGGCGATCAAGTCGCGAGCAGACGGAGAGATGTGTAGATATTTGCTATACTCTTACCTATATTATATACCTATATTTTTAAGTGTATAAATAGAGAGTGTATAAGGGATATACATCAAGTCTTGTTGAAATGCATTTTTCACACAACATATTTATTACAAACATAGAATGTCTTGGAATATCTAAATACATTTTCGGATTTTCCTCAATAACGTAAATGGTTCGCTTTTCTACATTTTTTGTTGCTTTCCATTTTTGTACAAATGTACCCAACGTACTAGACTCGGTACTTGTGGATGTATGCGACGACGTGTATGTGCGAGCAACTCAGAACAACCCTCGTTTTTCTTTGGTTGCCCGTCTAGGGGGTTGTAAAATATTATTATTTAAATAAATTGCTTATAGGTGCCTCTCGCAACGTATTTCGAAATTTTTGTGGACGGGAACGTTTAGATGGGGTAGAATTTTTTTTTCGACATAAATTTGAAAATTCTGCTTTAAATGTTTAAATAATAATATTCATAACACCTTAGACGGGCAACCAAAGAAAAACGAGGGTGGTTCTGAGTTGATTATAGGTCCCTCTCGCCGACGTATTTAGAAATTTTTGTGAACGGGTACGTTTAGATGTTTTTTTGGTCGGTATAAATTTTAGAATTCTGCTCTAAATGTTGAAATAATAATATTTACAAAACCCTAGACGGGCAACCAAAGAAAAACGAGAGTGGTTCTTAACTGCTTATAGGTCCCTCTCGCCGACGTATTTCGAATTTTTTGTGAACACGAACATTTAGATAGAGTAGAATTTTTTTCCGGCATAAAGTTGAAAATTGTGCTCTAAATGTTCAAATAATAATATTTTACAACCCCCTAGATGTGCAACCAAAGAAAAACGAAGGTGGTATTGAGTTGCATACTGTGGCTGGGGAAACCGTGGATAACATCACACAAACTTTTCATTTTTCGGTAATGAAATAAATATTTTATTCGGAGTCGATCCCGAGGTACTTTTACAGCCTGGAACTATTCAATATTTATACAATCCTCGGTTTCGACCCATTTAGACATAAGAACAATGATTAACGAAACTGCCAAGCGAACCACACACCGTATGTATTAACACAGAATGGGATGAGAGCGAGCGGAGTGTTCTGCCCGTCGCCCGTACCGGTATTATGACGTCAGGCAATGGTTGCTCAACGTTTTTCCGCGCTCTGTTTTCATTAATTTATTTCACACATTTCTCGTTGAAACAAAAAATTGATTTTTGGCATACTAACTAATTAAAGGGTAAACTTTTGAAATATGCAATAAAAAAATTTTACAGAATGGGCCTATTGATGAAGCAATTGTAGCTCGTTAAAACAATATTGCAAAATTCTAAACTTAAAACAATGTCCGGTAGTACCCGACGTTATCATGTCCAGGTGTATGTATGTCGGGGGGATGGTGGAAAATTGCTTCTCCATCGCAGCACTTAGGCCTTATTAGGCCCCTTGTACACCCCCCTTTCATTACTCGAGTACTTTTCTTCAAACCGTCCTATTACTACACGGGTGGCTTGGTGGCAAAGTCTCGTATAATTTTTATGTATGATAGCATGGTCTTGAGTTACAGAGATTTATTGCTCTATTCTCATTACCATTTTATCGGGGACCACACGCAGGCGGAAGGTGTTGAGCGACCCAGGTCTCTGGTAGGCTGCCACAGCCACATCCCGAGCCTGCCTTAGGTCACCCATCCAAGATCCAGCCTGCGTCCGTGATGCTTACCTCGGCCGATCGAAATCCATCGGCCAAGACACCCGGTTAGGCAGTCCTCCCGTGTCCAGGGGTACCCGATCTCTATCACGCAACATTTTTAGTCACAACTTTTAAATTATACAAGAAATGTCAAAAAATACTTTTATAAACTTTAAAAATATCAAATTTCCTACAACTTTAAACTATAGACGCATACTTACTTATGCTCTATAACAGCGGTCGGTAACTGGCGCACCGCAGTCCAGGTCCGGACTGTGTAAGGTAAAATACTGGATCGCCAAAAATTTTTTGAAAGTATAAATTACTCAAATAAATTATTTAAAAAATATTTTTTTTATGTTTGGGTGCCACGCACATCATTTTTTCTAGTATTTTACAATTGTGTGACTGATTTCAGTTCTTAATGGTTAGTAAGTAGATTAAATTTGAGTGCAAATTAAAATTAAAAAGTTAGTAAGAAATTGAAATTTTTTCTGAACCTTATTAAAAATTTTCAAAAGTATCCAGACCCCACCTAAAATTACTTGCCGACTCCTGCTCTATAACCTCTAACGAAATTTGAGAGGAGCAACGAAAAATTTTTGTCGGGAACAAAACACACATTAACATTCAATTCACTCAGTGCCCGCACCACATCTGAGTTGTATTTGTATTTACTCTATAGGACGCACCATTAAAATTAAGTTTTACCTACACAACGTTATTGGTTTCTTAGAAATTTAAATGTCTGTGGTTATCCGCCGTCCGGGGCTACCCGACTTTCCCCTATATCGCAGACAGGTTGTAAAATCTGTGTTTTATAAAACACCTAGCGTTTTATAAAAGGTAGCCAAAATCTTCATTGACTTTGCATTATTTCATTGTCTAGCGAGATACTTTCTAAACGGCTAGACGTAATAGGCACATGAATAAATTTAACATAAAAATACTACGTTGTTAATATTCATTTCAAATTTAATGTAAATTTATTAGTCAAACTGCTATTTCATTTTATAAAATGATTAAAACAATTTAAGCGTTTTATGAAACTACTGAAATGCTTGAGCAGGAATGTCCAACAGTTGACGATTTTAAAAGTTTGGCAATCTCAACACGTGTTGTTCACTGTTTTCCAAAATGCTTAATCAGATAGTAAAATACCGCAAATTCAATGATGATTTTGTTATCTGGTCTCCTTTTATAAAACAACACATTTTATAATCTGGCTATGAGATATACCTACAAATTCAAGGAATTGTTACGTTACCCAATTGTCAAACGTCAAACATCTTTTGAAATATATGTAGGTGTGTGCTAATCACTCTTTATTATCAAAACGAACTTAAGAACTACCAAAATAGTTCTAATGATTAATATGATTTAAAAATCTTTTAATTTTTCAGGAGCCGATGGTATTGGTATAGAAATCCAGAATATTGTGGATATAGGAAAAACCAACAATTTTGAGTTAGTTATGAGGTTATCAACGAATATAAATAGTTCTGATGAATTTTTTACTGACCTTAATGGCTATCAGGTTTTTATTATGTTAAATCACATTTTCTACAGTTAACTTTGTATATTTTAGATTATAAGGAGGAAACGTTTTAAAAAGCTGCCTCTGCAAGCTAACTATTATCCAATGCCTACCATGGCCTACATCGAGGATAAGGAAACTCGACTCACTGTGATAACAAGCAGCCCTTTAGGTTGTAGCTCTTTATCATCGGGTCAGATTGAGATTATGCAGGATCGAAGGCTTAATCAAGACGACAACTTGGGATTAGGACAAGGAGTATTAGATAATCATCCAACTAAACATATTTTTAGGATACTACTGGAAAAAAAGACACATAGCTGTCAGGTAAATAGTTTTTAATTCATTAAAAGGAAAACAATGTATTTTCATTATATACTTGCATTAACCTTACTAAAACGTCACTCAGTATTACTACAATGTGGATATTCTCTATATGGGGTAACTCCAATAGCTTGTTTTTTAATCTAATAAATTCTTGTGTAAACCACCACTGGATAGCATAAACCGAGGCACCCGAAATTTTTTGTATTAGTGAACTATCAACGTTGCCAGTTTTTAAGTCAACCTATATTGTACGAAGGTACATTGAAAAATAATTTAGTAAACAGATTTTGTATAACTTAGCAATATGTTATTTTAGTTATCATATTTTTTTATATCACTGGTTAAGGCGCCAAACACAAAAAAGTGTGTAAAATAAATATAAATTTTTACATGATTTATTCAATGTTAACTACTATTGGTACGTAGATACGTTACTAATTGTAAATATATATTTTTTAATTAACTGTTAGACAGTGAAACTAGTGAAAATAATTTAGTGAATACAGGTTGCTTGAATTTTAAAGTCACCATATTTTTTTGATGTCTGGTAGAAGACATTATTAAAAAAAATGTTTTTAAAAAAATTTAAAAATTTTCACGATTTATTAAGTTTGAACTAAAAAATACTTTGCAACATTTAAATAAAAAAAAATACTTTGTAACAAAAAATAACAAAAATTGATAAAATAATTTTTAAACAATTTTTAAAAGAACATAAAAAATAAATAAAAATACTAACCTGATTTTATATGAAATATTTTTTTAAAATCGTTTAAAGTTTTTACAAACAATTATATGTTGTTATTTTTTTACTCACGGTGTGTTGTTTTTTTTTACTGCTGGTGGTGTGGAAATTTTATTTTTAATAACCTTTCTTTTAAATTATGAGATTTGACAACAATGCATAGTCCAGTTCCCAATTGTGCATGCACTGCGTCTAACACGGCAGCGAATTTTTCACAATGGAATTTGGAAAAATAAACTATTGATATGTGTTTCTAAAGGTCAAAGGTAGTCTCTGTATAAATATGACCCCGACCCCCCACTCAAAGTTAACCCTGTATATATTTCTGCTTATGTTACTTCGTCTTTATGAAAAATAATTCTAAATTGTTAGTAAAAAAAATTAAGGGCTGCTTATTGTTAATTTCATTTAAGTCTACGACTGAAAATCATCCGGCTGGAATTCCAACGTTATCATCTTATGTTGCATCTCAATCATTATTAAACCCGATGATAAGATTATTGAGGGTAGAAGATGAGGATTCTGTGTCCAGTGGTGCTTATACTCCCGTTGAACAAGAATTTGGAGTAGATTTTTCTATGCCATCACTGAAGACAAATGTTTATATCAAAGGGAAAGACAACATAGGTTTAGTGATTCATCGACAGTTCCTAGATGTCTGCTTTTCCGATAAGGTCCTATTACAACAATTTCCACTTAGTCAGGGAACAGTAAGTAAAAATAATATTGCTTTCTTAACGTCAGCTGAAAATAGTAACTGCACGTTTAATAATTTACTATTTTAATAATTTGCAAACTGTCCAGTTTTCGTAGAAGACTACTCATTTTTTTGTTTTAAGTTAGTAGTTGGTAGTCAAATAGTATAATAGATTTATAAAGAAAAACACTAATTTTGTTATAAAAATATATAGTTTTGTTTTATGCTATTATAGTGCAAAAAATCATGTTCAGGGTGTGCAACTTAACATTCCCACTGTTTCCTTAGAATTCTATTTTTCTATTTCTTTTAAATCCATAAAAAAAAATATAAATTCAGTCATTTTTTGTTTACTTATTTATTGTCCCTAAAATGTGACAATTGGTTTCACTGTAAATGTTTGAAAAAATAATGCATTATTTAAAATGACATTCATCGCATAGTATTTAAAATGTAATTCACTTCTGGTGTGAGAATGTGTAATTTTTTATTAATTTAAAAGATGCTTTCTAGAATAAGGGGAAAAAGTTTTATACAAAACTTTTTTCTTCAAAATTCCAAGTTCTTTCCTAAGGGTGACGGAGCTCCGAAACGACTATCTGCGGCAAATAGATACCTACTGAAAGGGTACAGCCTAATGACTTACCTACCTTTTAATTTCTAGCTTCTCTTAACACTACTACCAGATATTTTTAATACTAACAGATGTCATTAGCAGGAGTTTATGTTCAATTAAAAAAATTTTCTAAAGAAAGTACAGTAGAATAGCGTACATCAAAACTTTAAACGTGTTTTTCTCTTTTAACAATATTTGTTATTTGTTGACAAATAATAGTCTTTTTTTTTCAAAATTTTTCACTTTTTACTTCAAATGTTCGCTAATCACACAAAAATTAATGTTTTCCAAATCCCCTACATATTTTCCAAACTCGAGTAGATTAAGAGAAAATGTTTTGTTTTTTTTTTTAATCAAATTCAACACACTTCAAGAATGGCTCCAGCATCACCAGTTTATACTATTCATGAATAAATATATTTTTTTAACACTTAAAAACCTGGTTAGCAACATCCTTGAATATTATTATCTTGGTTTTCCTTCTATTAAAATAAAATCACAAAAAACGCTAGGAAAAAAATTATTTTTCTATATTTTGCAATTTTTTTCATTAATAACGAAAAATTTCTTTGTACAGCGACTATCTACAATTATGAATTTAAAAAAAATAATTTTATGCCAAATTGAACTTTTAATTAAGTACCTAAGTCTAGTACCGATTTAAAATTCATCTTGGTTTCTAAGAAAATGTTAGCGGGAATGTTAAGGGACATATCCCACCACATTTGAGTTATNAAAACCGACTGTTTGTAGCAGAACAATATAATATTATAGCTAAATCAAGGAAGCATCTGACAGTAGTGATTAATGACTCATTAATCACTGCCGTGATTAATGGGTAAGGTCGAGCAAACAGACGTATAATGGGTACATTATACAATAGTCGTGGATAAATATATTTTTTTAACACTTTTAAGGGACATATCCCACCACATTTGAGTTATATTTATCTATTATTTTCTAAGCTTCTAATATTTTTGCTTTTAATTTTTTAATATTTAAAAGAATTATTGTTAGATACCATGACAAAATATTTATATTTCAGGTTAACATTACTGGCCTGCTACCAATTTTAGATACTGACAAAAGATTACATAAATCAACTCTGTCATTTTCATTGATAAAAAATGAAGTGGATGCTAAGGGAAATTTACCGTTGTGTCCGATGGAAATGCAAGCATTTGTTATATTAACAAAAATATAAAAGTTTATTATTGTATTGGTGTTACATATAATGTTGCAAAATTAGGGGTAGTTTTGATTAATTAAAAAGGCCTAAGAATATTAATGGCCTGAAAAAATGCTATCTTTTATCGAAATTCATATAAACTATCCTAATAGCATTCTTTTTATCTAAAATTTAACTTAGGTTTAATGAAAAGCCTTAATGAGAAATTAAAAAAATGTTAGATAAAGAGAATCTGTTCAAATATTTTATATTCTCAGATTGTATGCGTCCTATCTTAAGGCATATATACAGGGTGTCCCAAAAGTGATGCCCGTCCTTCTGGGATTTGATTAAGGAGATAAAAACAAATTGAAAATCAAGAATCGAAAATTTTCCGGTTGTTTTTCTTTGTCGAGTTATTCAAAAAATTATTCAGAAAACTGAAAAAGTGAAAATCCAATTTTTTCTTCTCAAAACTGAGGTCTATGCTTATGGGGACCAAGACAAATAATTTATAACCAATAGTAGGTAAGTATAGTTTCCGATTGTCGGTGGTACCTGAGTGTAAGGAATAATTTTAACCTGAAAAGGATAGAGAAAAAAATTTTAATAACAGAACAATTTTATAAAATGGAGAGGAAAAAAACCATAACGTGCTTAAATAATAGAAATTGTTTTTACAAAAGGTGTTCAAATAAGTTGCCTCCTACTCTAAGACAAAGATAGGCATGATTCAGCATTGAAGCTTCAACCCTTTGTAGCATCTCTTGGGTCTATTAACGCGACAGGAGCGTGTATACAGGCTACTACATTTTCTGGATTTACAACAGGTTCGCTGTAAATCTTTTCTTTTAAATAACCCAAAAAAAATCTAAGGGATTCAGATCTGGCGACCTAAGAGGCCATGCTATGGATCCACCTCTTCTAATCCATCTGTCTGGGAAGTTTTGATTCAGATAATTTCATATTCGCAAACCATAATGTGATGGAGCTTCATCATGTTGAAACCAATAATTTAGTCTAACTGCTAACGGAACATCATCCAGCAATGGCAATGGTAAGTTTTCGTTTAAAAATATACAGTTGCAGTAAATATCGCTCTGAATTACATAATTATTTAATAACCCAGCCCAAATGTTTATTTATAGTTTTTTTTAAATAATTTTTTTGAATAACAACAAAGAAAAACAATCTTAAAATTTTCCATTCTTGATTTTCGATTTGTTTTTGTCCCCTTAATCAAAACCCAAAAGGACGGGCGTCACTTTTGGGACACCCTGTATATGCTGAGTCAAATTTTATTACTACACATCAAATAATATGCAGCTTTAAAATTAAGAATAATTTTTTAAAAGAGAAATGTAGTACAGATTATATTTTATACCATAAATATAAAAAATGGTAATGTTTAAAATCCTTAACATGTACTGTTATATTCAACATAAGTGACTCGAATAATAATTGATATTAAAAATTATCAAAAGACATATAAACCACGTTAAACTTTATAATTAGTAAAAATAATACACTTTTTTTTTATGGCGTTCCTACAGTATTAGTAGTTTTATGTGTTGTAACACCTAAATTGGTAAATACATATATCCCTCTTGACAGGTGCAAAGATGTCGTATTTGTACCGAGGAAAAAAGTTATTTATTATACAAAGAAAAAATAAAGTGTTTGTGTGAGAAGTATGATTGTTGAAAAACACCAAGGGCTAAAATCTTAGCTTTTTTCTAATATTTAATATACTATTTTTGCCCAACACACAAGAAATATGTTTTTTTTTTAATATTACGTTTGTATTATTTTAGTATATAGAAAACAAAGATAGTATAAAGGTTACCCCATCTGTCAGACACTGTACCACATCACTCTACTATATGAAATGAGCGTGATTTATATATCTGCTGGGTTCAATTTACCTTTTGATATTTCTAAAGTCAAAACTATATTATTAGGATTATAGTATACAGGGCCGGATTAAGGGGGGGCTATGGAGGCTGTAGCTCTGGGCCTCACGAGATCAAGGTGCCTCAGCAAGATCTGGTCAAATAAATTTTAACTTTTTTTAGAAAAAGGGCCAGTGTAGAGCTTGTAGCTCCAGGCCTCACCATAGGTTAATCCGGCCCTAATGCTTGTTCCTGTTTTCTTTCTGTTTCTTTTAATATATATTGTTTTTACTATTTTTTCTTTGTTTTTATTATTTTGTCATTTTATATAATTTTGATTTTCTGCAATTTTATTTATCTAACCTGGTCTGTAAAGGTTTTTTGATGTTTGTAAGATATGTAATGCTATTTTTTGCACTCCATTACCTAAAACTCTTATTAAAAATTTTGATATACTCATTTGACATAAATAAGAAACATACGTTTTATGTCACGGTCTGTCGCTGTCGCTGTCGCATTACTGTGGTAATTTGAATTCCCTTATTAAACATACCTCCGCTTTTTGTTAGAGGTATTGAATTTAGATTCAATCTCTAAGAGACTAAAAGGATACTTATTTTAATCCAGGAAGTTCAAAATAATTATTACATTAATGACATAGGCTATATTGCTGCTAAAATCATTCACCACACATATACAGTTATAATTTATTTTAGACTTAAACTGTAATACAAAGTTACTGGAAACTAAATTTACAAAATAAAAACTTTCACAACAAAAAATAAACATCTGCAGAGTCCGTTCATCCAGAAACAAAGCAACAAAGCAATAAAAAATTCCCTTTGTTTATCATTAAAGAATTTATGTTATACATTTCTTTCTTTCTCTTTATAACGTTTTTTGTAATAGAGCCATAGCTAGCACAGTATATGTACCAAGATAGTGATATAACAAACAAAAATCATGACTCCTAATTAGATTTTTGTTTAGTTTTTTTACAAATCATCTCACAACTAATACAGGTTGTCCCACCGAGAACTGCGTCGATCGATATCTAGGAAACTACTGCTCCGAAAAAATAACAAATTTGGCAACATGGCAATGTCCCTGGGGCAAACACAACTGAAATATCTAGAACTCTCCAGCACACCAACTTCATTATTTTAAACGGGACACCCTATATATTATTACATTTTTGTATTGTACACGTAATTTGAGGGTCACTGTTAAATATTCCCTATACCTAGAAGTTAGATTTTGGGATATTAATTTTTAAAGAAAAAATTTGACAGATACAAGGGTTCCCGGAGGTGCTAATTACTAGTTTTCAGGAGCTTGACATCAAACGGATTTTTGGTATCTGTAAAGGGCATAGGTAACACTAAATCGTGGTATACCAACAAATTAAAACATTTAATACTAGGTGTTTCATTTTTGCTGTTACATTTTGATAACTTCAAACAGCTATAACCTTGTTATCTTAAATGGAACACCCTGTAATTTTTTACTCTGTCGTATGCAGATTGAAATTTCCTTTCAAACCATATAAGCATTGTTAGGGTTGCTGTTACTACTTTTAGAGATATTTGCAATTTTCTATTTATTGGACAGTTTTTCTCGTATCAGAGACCTGTTGTCAAATTGGCCATGACCAGAAACACTCCAAAAACAATTGAAATAACTTGTTATTGTCAAGTTAGTTGTCAAATTATTGTTGTGTCTGAATAGTTTTTGCCGAAAATTTAAATAAAAATGCCTGTGGATCGTTTAAATTATACGAGTACTAATGAAGATTATTTTAATTTGCTTCTTATTTATGGAAAATGTGACAAAGTAATTTCAAGAACATCTACATGTTCTGCTTTCTTCCATAAATAACAAACAAATTAAAATAATCCTCATAAGTATAATTTAAACGACCCCCAGGCATTTTTATTTAAATTGTCAGCAAAAACTATTACAGACATAACAATAATTTGACAACTAACTTGACTAATGTCAAGTTATTTTTATTGTTTTTCGTGTGTTTCTGGTCATGGCCAATTTGACAACAGGTCTGATATGAGAAAAACTGTCCAAAAAATAGAAAATTGTAATTATCTCTAAAAGTAGTAATGGTAACCCTAACAATGATTATATGGCTTTAAAAGAAAATTTCAGTCTGGATCCAACAGAGTAAAAAAATACAGGGTGTTCCATTTAAGTTAACAAAGTTATAGCTGTTTGAAGTTATCAAAAGGTAACAGCAAAAATGAAACACCTAGTATTAAATGTTTTAATTTGTTGGTATAACATAACTTTGGTGTTACCAAAAATCTACTTGATATCACGCTCCTGAAAAGAGTTACTAGCATCTCCGCGGACCCTTCCATCTGTCAAATTTTTTCTTTAAATATTAATATATCGAATTCTTTAACTCCTAGGTACAGGGAATATTTAATAAAGTGACCCTCAATTTCACGTAAAATCCAAAAATGCAATAATATATAGGGTGCCCTATTTAAAATAACGAAGTTAGTGTCGAAATGCTGGAGAGTTCTAGATATTTTAGTTGTATTCGCCCCAGGGACATTGCCATGTTGCCAACTTTTCAAATTTTTCGGAGTAGTACTTTCCTAGATATCAATCGATGCAGTTCCCGGTGGGATATCCTGTATAATGCAGTTTGTTAATGAAGCAAAATTGTCACATATACTTATACTTATACTCATATAATTTGCACTTAATGATATTTATAGATCTAAGATGGGAAATAAAGGGATGAGATTATTCTTTGAACTGACCACAATAGAATAAGTCGAAAATATATGCATTAATTAATTATTCTACTATGCAACTTTTCAGTCGACAGATCCACATGCATCAAAGACTTTAAAAATGTTGCTCTTAAGTAAAAACGTAAGTCAACCTTGAATATACTATTTTTTATAACTTTTGAAGAAATTTTGTTTCACGGATTATTCACGAAATTATCTTCAGAATCACAAATGGTGTAAAGTATATACAAATTGTTATTTTATTTTTCAAATTTGAATTAGGAGTATGTCACCTTGGTCACCTTTATGTAATAAATAACTGTTAATTTTATGAACTAAATATATTTATTATATTGTGTTCTTTTAGCTAATACTCGCACATTTATAAGGTAAATTGTCCACTAATGTGGACTACTTTAATGCCAAATAACCCTAATTAGTTACTCCATTCATTTCCATAATTATTCATTTGTGACTTTTAGATACATTACTAAAGCTTAAACTAGAATTTAATACATTAAGGCTTATCTAATTATCTTACCGATTTTATTAAAATTCTTATCGACTATTGTAACAGGTCACTTGCAACAAGTTTCCTGGATTTATTTTCAGACATAAGAAATAATTAATCAAGTTTAGTGATTTTTTTTTCGCCTTCACTGTAGATTTTCCACACCAACTCATTTCCTATGCCAATATATCGTCGTTGCGTCTTCAAAATACGATGTGTAGTTTATCAAATTCAGTGGAGTTAAAAAACTGTTTCTGGGTCTTTTTTATTTAAGAATTAATTATTTTTAATTTTACCACGGACAGCCGCAATTATGTAGAAAGTAAGATGATCGTTTTTAACCAGAAATGCAGTTTGAAGTCATTTATCGAATTCTGTACTTGACGTGTTTTACTGAAAATATGCATGACAAATTTTGAAGCCATGACGATATATGTATTACCCTCTCTGCACTTTGCTTTTTTTCCAATGGCATATTTGCACTGAGCGTCAAAAATTGCAGTAATTCATGCTGAACTTACTTATTTAACTTAAAACTTAATGTTACTAATACTGGGTAAAGACTAAGGTAGACTCTGCCTTTCCAAAATGCTGCTGAGCCTTCCCCGAATATTAGTCTAATTATAGCCCTTGAACTGAATGTTAGGAAGACAAAAACTGAAAGCATAAAAATTGTATGAAATTGATACTAATTTTTGTTATAATCAAATTTATAAGTTCAATAGTACTAATTGTATTAAACAGAATCTATTTTTTGTCTTATGATTTCATATTTTGTGGAATTTTTATATTTCACTGTGCTATAGTGTTATATGTAGTTGGTTTATATCAGCACCTAATAAAATCTAGATTGTATAAATTTCTGTTTTATTAAGCCTGTATCAGACAATGCAATTGTGACGAACTTTCTGGACGAGACCCGGATGTCCCACAAAAAGTCGCTGTCCGGGTAACAGCAGTGGAGAAGAGTGTACACCAGGGGTCTTGATCAGAAAAGAAACCACTTCTTCCAATAGATGTACTCTCATTTATTTACCATAAATAAATAAATTCACCACTGACAAATCGGTGACGGTCAGTACTTACATTCGGTGAAATTTCAGAAAATAGAAAACTAAGGTTCCCTTGATTCGGCGTTCAACTCAGGTTGACAGCTACTCGGGAAAATGAGCGAGTGAGGAACTCCGAGAGGGACAGGGACCAACCCTCGGAGTTTCAGGGAAACGGGGTTCTAAGAACAGGCGGGAAAATGGCTGATGTTCTGTTCCCGGACGGAAGGATAAGGAGAGCGCTAAGAACAGGCGGGACAGGGACCAACGCTCTGTTCTCAGACGGAAGGATAAGGAGAGAGGAAAATTGCCGATCAACACTACTGAATCTCATGTGCAGGAGTTCAGCTTTTATAGCCGATTTGTGACACAGATTACATCAGATGTTAGTACGCAGACCCACAATAACTCCAGCATTTAGGGCTTACAGTACTAACATAGGAAAAGATAATGGTTCATCGAATATTTAACGGATGAATAAAGGTTCGTTACACAATTTAGTTGCGGAGACAGAATTACGGGGATAAAATTGCATGCTTATTATCACACAAAGGGACAGAATTGGTGCAATTTGTTTAGATTTTGCAGTAGTGTTACCAACTGTGCATTGTTTAACATGTAAAATTCCTTGTATCTTGTAAATAATTATTTTTGATTCAAGCAAAACATTGCAATGGACGAAAATTTAAGTAAATTGTATAGCTTTAATAGTGGCTTCAACGGTGTAGCTAACAGCCGTGTCCAACAGCCAACAACAGCTAGGTTGGTAATAAACAAATCGCTATCTATAACTAACTAGAATCCGTGCAATTTTGTTGCACGGAATAGAGCATGCATTCATGCATTTCAGTTGCCGCAACAGAATTACATAGTCTGATAAGAAAAATTTCATGGATTCTATCGCAGCAACCAAATCCCTGCTCCAAATTGCATTATCTGACAAGGACTTTATTAACATTACACTCAAAAAATATAATTTATTGTGAATTCTTAGTATACAATAAATATCAAGTGCTTTTACATAATAGTTTTTCAGTAATAAGTGAAACAACATCATTATCTGCAAAAACATTAAGAAGTTCTAAAATATTATTTTCTTCAGAATGTGTATAATTTTCTTTTGCTGTCTTTTTAAATCGTTTCCTTTGCCCCTCTAAAAATATGATAAAATCTTCTTGAGACATTTTAGGTATTTTTTCTACAAAATGGTACTTCTCCAACAATTCAGATTCGTTAATTTCACAATAGTTTTCAGTAGATTTTGTACCATCCTTTTTACTTCTTTTGCTTTGTAATTTATCCTTGCAAATCTTTTTACATTTGTTTATAATCTCCAACATATTTCCAGTATCATTTTCTAAAATAGACTGAAACAGAACACATCGCTAAATACTTGTTACTTGACTATAAAAATGATTACCTGCTGCATGTTAGGGTTTAAAATATGATCAGCTGTTTCTTTATTTGATACATCTACCATTTGTTTAACAAAAAGCTGAACTATTGATTCATTAAGTCTTTCTGCATCATCTTGGGGCTATAAAATAAATACAGTTTACAGGATGTAACAAAAATACTTAACCAAACTCTAATGGAGAATTCTATCACAAATAAAGAAAGTTCCTTGTATTCAAAAACATGTCATTTTCGAGATACAGAATATTAAAAATTAATAAAAAATTATAGTACATTTCAAGTAAAAAAAAAAACAGTTGAAGATATATCCAAGAAGACTAAGAGTACTTTAATGTTCTGTGGTTTTTGTTTTCTACGAAGTTAGCATTCAAGGCCAAAGTGTTGGGAGCAGAACGCGCGCTCATTTGTCTCAGTCAGTTGAGAATTGTTGTTGTAGTGGCGTGTTGAAATGAGTGCTGAGAAGCGTAATGCAGTTTCTTCTTGCAATGGGAAAGGCGCCATTCCAGATTTTTAATGATATCAAAACTGTTCACGGGACTAATGTGTACAAGTGAAGTCATGAGTATAAAGCTGGCAGAATGAATGCTCATGATGAACAACGGAGTAGGTGTCCCTCAATCGTGACTGATGGTGCACAAGATTGAAAAATGCTTCGTGGCGACTATCGATCGACTTTGGACGAGATAAACGCTTGGTTATCGAAAATTGTGTGCGAGGAGGGAGGTGGCTACCAAAACAGCTCACGGATCAACACAAAGCCAAAGGTAAACAATTTCTTGACCGTATTGTGACTGGCGAAGAAACGTGGGTGGCCCACTACACCCCTGAGACGAAAAAACAATCAATGCAGTAGCGACATTTGTCTTCACAGCAAAAAAATTCAAAACCATTGTTTTAGCCCGAGAAATTATGGCAATTGTGCTTTGGGACTGTAAACGGATTCTCCTCATTGACTTTTTGCTCCAGGGGGAAACAATAATACTGTGCGGTACCTTGAAAACTTTACGGAGGGCGATACAAAACAAAAGGAAGGAGAATGTTAACGAAGGGAGTGTGCTTGTTGCATGACAATGCACGTTCTCACACAGCCAACGCCACAAAGCAACTCTTGGATTCATTCAGTTGGAACATCATCAGTTCACAGCTCTGCCCTGATATCTTCTGATTTTCATCTTTTCTCTTCTCTGAAAGTGTTTATGGGTGTAAAAAGGTTTTCTACCAATGATGAGGTTCACAGTGCCTTGAAACAATGCGCCCAATAGATGGCGGGAGATTTTTCTGATAAAAGGTATCAGAAAGCTCATCCCTTGGCACACAAAGTATATAGAGGTTGAAGGCACCTAAATAAAAAAATTGTATTTAATGTACTTTTCTGAATATGGTAGGTACTACTTTGTGGATATGCCTCTTATTTAAAAAAATTATTCGAAGTCATGACACTTAGCAATAATTACCTATACACAGGTTTTACCACTTATTTCAAAAAGGGCATATGAGCGACATGCGGCAGGACACATTCCTGTAAAAATAATTTCAACCACGTCACAGCCACTAAGATGGTAAATTTTCCAAGATGGAACTTTAAGTCAAATGTTATATTGCTGTAAAGAGACCCCTTTGTGTAAATTGTAAATTTTCCAAGATGGAATTTTAAGCCAAATGTTATATTGCTGTAAAGAGTGTAAAGAGACTCGTATGTGGTTTCTTATTTGCTCTTTCCATTTTCATATAAAGAAGGTCAACCATCAGTTCTGGGTTACCCTGTACATGTGTTTATAGCAACTTTTTCGTTATTTTATGACATAAATTCCATTTTTAAAGTTTGTCCAAGTATTTTAGTTATACCTGTACTTAAAATTAAAAATTACTTTTTGTAATGTTGCTGTATTTGCTCACAAAAAAAGAGAGATGTTTATATATGATCTAATTTTAGCATTCCCTATAACATTAAGCATTCATCTTTAATAAGGTCGCCATTTCTGAAATTCTTATATATGCAAAGCAAAGATTGAGGTGAGGGAATTACTTCAACATTTAATGGTTTACTTACCAGTGGAACCCAAACATTAATACTGATGGCAGTTTCTAGATTTTCTACATAATGCCACCATTTATGAGGCAAATATAAAACATCGCCTGGATTTAAAATAACTTTTCTGCAATTACTCACACCTTAAAATAAGATTATAGTTGATTTAAAAAATGTACTTAAAGAAAAAATAAATTCAAAGGTGATTTTAGATAATCCAACTTAGTACTGATAATATCCATGAAATAAATGAATTATTTTTTATTTATTAATGCTAATGGAAAATTGAAAACATAAGAATGATCCTACTAACATCTTTCAGTATTAATAGTCCAGTTTCATAGGTACCTTTAAAATCTTCAACATCGGGACTGAAGAAATTTAATTTTGAATAGATACTGGATTCTTCATAAGGTATCCTGGTAGGTTTCAAATCTTCTTCTGGAGGTGCTATAATCCAAAGTTTTCTGTAAACATATGTTTGATTTCATTTATTTTATTCACCGACTTATTTTTCTTGTGAAAAGATACCGAATTGTGTCATGAATAATTCCGAAATACTCGTGCCACACTTACCTCCCATAAACTTGAAATATTAGGTTAAATCCATATGTATCAATGTGACATGATGTGTGGGCACCTTTTGTGCCCATCCACATTGTACAATCGTCCACTGTTATGTTGGGAAAACCCAAAGGTGCCCATGAAATATTCTAAAATTAAAATTGTCTATATTAATAAGTCTTGTAATAATTATCAACAAAGTACTTTTCGTAATTCTTCAATATTGGTAAACCAGTTATCTAAATATTTATAATCAAAATATAACCATTTTTCTTCAGAATCACATTCTGAACATTGTAAGAAATATTTAAAAGAAGATTTTATAACATCAGTTTTTCTTTCCCACTGAGGTTCCTATAAAAATTTATTTGCCTAAACGTGAGATACATTATGTTATGGTATGGAATATATTACATGTGTATATTCAAATTTCCCCAATCGAAATTCTAAAATCTCATCTCTTAATTTATTCTTCCAGTCTGTCAGAGTCCACTTTAATAATTCACAGGTTAATAAATGTTTAAAAATTAGAGGTTCCTGAGTATTTAAAATCAACAGTTTTATTTCTTCGGAAGTAGTTGCATTCATATTTTACATTTATAAAATATTTTGTTTATGCTATTATAATTAGTACACGGTTCTGCTCAATTCAGTAAAAATATGTAAATGAGAAAAAAAAACAGTTCTTTGACGATATTTTAGTGGTTTTTAAAAAAAAAATTAAAATATCTATGATAAAAATTGAATTTCAATTTTCATTTCTGGGTTATGTTATGTCTCAGTGTCGGTCACAAAACAGAAAAAAGTAAAGGGGTGTCAGTATTACTAATAGTCGCTTTCCAATTGACTTCAGAGTTTAGAAGCACTTTAGAATAGATTTTTGGGTACTGGAACATTTTACTCTTAGTAGAGTATACGCCGACGACCTGACAATCACATCCCAATCCGTAGATCCTAGATATTCCGTCTCCGTCTCCCTCCTCCAAAACTCCTTAGACCAACTTGAAACCTGGTGCAACAGGTGGAAAGTCAAAATTAATCCCAACAAAAGTTCGGCTATCCTTTTTACCAAACGAAAAATCCCACAAAACCTCGACAGACTGACACTATCCCAGGAACCCATCTCCTGGAATCGACAAACACGATACCTGGGCGTGACGATGGACCAGCGTCTCACGTGGAAACCGCACATCGTGGAGACGGTGGCGCGAGCGAAGACCACCAGGGCTAGGCTCTATCCCTTACTCAAAGGTGGAAACACCCTCAGTTTAAGGAATAAGCGAACGCTTATCAAGGTGGTACTTCAACCGCAGCTAACCTACGCCTCCACGGCGTGGGGTCACGCGGCAAAAAGCCACTTAAAGTCATTACAGGCTGTGGAAAACATAGCCCTCCGCACGGCCACCGACGCGCCCTGGTACGTAAGAAACACTGACATATTACGAGACTTACAATACACAAACGCTACACAGACAATAAGACAAAACGCGGAGAAACGATTTGACGTAGCCGCTAGACATGACAATCCCCTCCTCAGGCAAGCCGTTGACTACGTACCCGACGTGACCGACAAACACAAAAGACCTAGACACCAACTTTTTGACCCTGGGTGACCACCCCAATGACCCCCCCCCTGCCCGCTAACCTTTTCTGTTTCGGAGACAGCCAGGTTCAAGAAACGAAGACAAACACACACACACACACATACACACCCCCCATACCCTCCTTAACCCTCCCCTCCCGCGCTAGCCTAAGGGCCACCTTAGCAAAGCGCATCCCAGGCTGCATAGCCGCACTACCCTACCCAACCATACCACACATAAACATGACACTACCCCCGGGGTTTACACAGACGAGCCGGCGAAGCAAGAAGAGCGCCAGAAGAAAGGGCCCTAGCCGGCGGGGCCCAGCCAGGACAAAAGGAGGTCCCACAAAGCGCCTACACCGGTCGCATTTGCGGTCAGGGTAGACGACGGATGGGGCCCACCTACGAAGGCTGTTCAGGCCTACACGAGATGAGGCAGGATAAAGAGGGATAATCCCCCTCGATCCCAATAATAATGGCGCGCGGTTGTGGGGTGGTCGGTAGACCCTTCGTACCCGGACTTTACAACGTACAATTCTCATTCGGCTCGTGCTAAGTCACATTGCGTGCACAAGGAGATATATTGGTTTTAAAACTGCGGAAAATGTGAACAATGTGACGGATCCTCTTGCCTCTTGTTCTTTATATCTAATAATGATACAACCCAGCACGTAAACGGTTGTAGAAGAAGAAGATTAGTTTATTTATAAAGAAATGATGTCAAAGTTGAAAGCAAAGCAAAGTTACAATCTGACAGTTGTCAAATGTGTACCGATATTTCAAGGAAGGCCAGTTTTTAATAAATATAAACATCTACAGTTAAAAAACGGTTTCACAATATATTTCTTTTTGTTATATGCAATTTATAATGTGTATATTTACCATATAGTAGTTAATTCATATTTTACCTGCATAATCCAACTCAAAATTCAAAACGTTTAGTAAACAAAAAGTGACGTTCTTGGGACACGTATTTATGTGATAAGACATTAAAACATGTTAAAATAAAATAACTAGTGAAAATGCGGTATAAACTTTTAATAATCTTTTTAACTCTTATTTGTTGTGAATTTTCTGATGAAAATTTACAAGGACCAACAGAAAAAAAAGATAAAAAAAATAGTGATTTAAATGAAGAGGAAACCAGTAAAAAAGAAGAATTTGTAGGATCGATAGAAGATGAAGATGGGGCAACTACAATTCGAATTGAATCGGTTCCTGATTTAAGTAATGAAAGAGATCATCATAAAAGTAAGCTGTATATCCGTAAATATTAACTGCTAATTATTATTGTTTATATAAAAATTTAAGTTACCTACATATTTTTAATATATTCCACAATGCCACAAATCAATTTTTTCAATTTTATATTTTGATGTCATTATTAAAAAATATATACTAACCATTTGCATATTTTAACAGAACTATTTAAGTTCTAGTAAGAACCGTCAGTATAATTCATAATAGTCTATCAATATGTTTGTGAAAATAACTGAAACATTTCTCATTTGAATCAAAACAAATCTTACAAAATTTAGCAAAAATTGGTTTCATGGATTTTGTGTTATAAATATTGAATGAGAATAATTTGTGACAATATTATAATTGATTTGTCTATTTTAATACAAATACAATAATTTAATAATAACATGTATACAGGGTGATTCAGGTTTAATCTGGATAACTTCAGGAATCCTTAGAACAGGTTAAAATAATGTTCACTCATGATGATATAAACTTATTTCTTAAATCGCATCGTTTCGGATATAGAGGGCATTGAAATAGATTTTTTTCCCCTCTTTTCCCTCATAACTTTTGAACCACTCATCCGATTGAGGTGAAATTCGGAACACAAACACTACTTATACTTTTGACTTATTAATTTTTAAACTTTTTCGTCTTGTTTTTTTTCGATATTTCGAAGGTATTTATTTTTGAAGATATTCAATGAAATCCGTGTGTAGCGTGTAGCGCCCCAGTCGCATATATTTCATTTAACATTATAGCAACCCATGAAAAACAAAACTCACAATGATTTGTATAAACTGACGTTTATGAAAATCATCGTTAAAAGTATTATTTCAAAAGTATTTTTAGTGCTAAGAAAAGGGAAAAAAATTCCTACTTCAATGTCCTCTGTCTTCGAAACGATGCGATTTAGAAAATAAGTTTATATAACAAATGAATATTATTTTCATCAGTTCATCATACAACATTATATACATATATTTTATATACAGGTTTACATTATGAATATATTTTATTCGAGTACTTCTAGAAAAATAGTTTTATCAGTAATAGATATACTCTCTGATATACTTAATTTAAATAATAGATAAAGATTAACTAGGTACTCATTACCAAGCTCATTACAATAAGAAAATAAAATAGAAAATGCTACTAAACAGAAATATTTTACCAAATTGTTAGTCATTTGTAAGAAATAATAATGAGAAGCAAACTACTTAAAAATTTAACAATATTATGAAAGAATATTTATATGGAGACTGAATATTTAAGTTACTAAAGTTGTTACATGAATAATAGTGCACTGAGGTCGACGTGAATGTACTTATGTTGACTGAGGGCATTGTTATCTTAACCCCCATAGCGGCTTCATCATGTTATGATGTCTTACTAGTCTATTATTTAATTAAAACATTTTGTTACATATGGCTGGAATGACATTTGTATTGAATCTCTTCTTCAGAAACTCTAAAACAAGATTGAGTTCTCTGGTTGGTATTTACATTTGTTGTGTACACTGGTTAATGGTGTTCCAGTGCCTTGCTTCTGGATTCCTATTGTCTCCCTCTAGAGTCTTGGCCAAAATCTCTTCCCTCCCACTAAAATTTGGTATTTTTCTATATTGTTATTCTTCGACTATCACTTGTGTTCTTTTAACGTCATATTGATCTTTCTTCTTGTTTGTCCAATGTTTTGTTTCCCCATATACACAAAATGCTGTATAGACCAGGATCTTGGAGTAGATCGATTTTGGAGCTCATCTTGGAAAAGGCAATACCTATTTTCCTTGAGGGGCTATAGTTTGTCATCTAAGTTTTCTCATTCACGGATGGCCCGTGCTCAATATAAAGCTAGTAACAAGTTCTTGTCTAAAATAATAATAGTGTCAGACAGATTGCTTGCTAAAAATTATGAAATAACTATAATGGAGCCAGAATGTTATAAAAAAAAATTATTTTCAACCAATTTTTAGGTAATGAAATTATAAATCGTGAAATTTCAGAAGCGGTGGATATATTTATGTTAGATCAGGCAAAGGTAATACAAAAAATGGTTCAGGAATTTGACTTATTCAGCAACTTACAAGATAGCGATGAATCTCTAGAACCAGAAGAAGAGCCACAGTTGCCAGAGAGTTTGCTTCATCCGAAAGAATTTACTCCTGAAGAATTAGAGGCAAAGACTATTTATGAAACTGCTGCTGCCATGCTCAATAAAACAAGGCCCGACAAACAACAAGCTTACCAATTGTTAATTGATGCTTCTAATAGAGGAAATATGGATGCAAAGGCATTGGTTGCTTGGGCCAAACTGTTCGGAAATCCGTTGAAGCAAGATATATATGTTGCAAAAGAAATGTTTATGGAACTAGCAGAAATGGGAAACCCAGATGGTCATACAGGCTTAGGTAATTTTGTGATTATAACCGAATTATGTTCTTAACATTTATTTGACTTAGCAAAAAGTTATAACTAAAAGCTTTTTTAAAAAATTTAATACACAGTTTTTAAAGCAATAAAATATGAATAATGATTATAAAATAAACAGCAAACAGCATAATTACATTTTTTGGTTATTATGTTTTATTGGAATTCCAAAATAATATTAAAGTAGTATATGATGACATGCTGTAAAATTGATTGATTAATAAAATTAGGAATATTCATTAACATGTTGAGTACATATCTCCGGGTAACGGCGGCCTTAACCATTGCCAGGCTCCAGGTGGCAGACCTTTGCGAGGCTCTGAGCGGAAGATATTCCCGGGGCCCTTGTTTTTTGTGAAATGTACTTAAATCGAATGTAGATATTTCTGATGATTTAAGAGAAATGCATAAGTTGTAAATATTCAAATATTCTATTAAGAGATTTTTAAAAGTTAACAAATACAAAGACGTCAAATTTTTAATAATGGTAAAATAAGGTACAAGATTCAAACATATTTTTCAATTATGTTTTACAGTCAAATTACAAAAAATATTATTATCCACCGATAAATGGTTTTTGACATCGATCATTAAATAAATCTAAATGAGAAAATTTACTTGGGCACCTATTCGAGCACCTATTACTACTTATTAAGTATTAATATATTTACTATGAATTAACCAATTTTATTTTATTGTCATATATCTCTATAACTAATAGCTAAGGTTAAAATAAAGTTTTAAATATATTTTTTTTTTTACTCGGGTTGCTCGCCACCCACTAAGGCCACCATTGTCTCCGGGGATTTGTATTTGTATATTATTGAAATCACATTTTTAATATTTCTGACATAAACTGAGGAATTCGCAATTTTTGACTGATTTCAAAGAATCAAATAGCTCTTTTACTTGTGTTATCATGTGACTTTGTACAATATATAAAAGAAAAACAACAGTATCTAAGATGAAGCAACATTTTTTTCCATGTGTACAAATTATCATTCCTGATTTAAAGCAATTTTTTATAAAAGAAAAAGTTTCTGCAAATACAGTTTGTGTTGCTGCACATGTAATAGTTTTTTTTTTTATTTTTTGTCTTTAAAACTCCTTGCACAATCAAGTACTATTAGCCCAGTATGTATAGTTTTAGATGCCTGCATGATTGTACCAGTAAGTGTGTTTTTTCAAATTTTATAAAAGACCAAATGTAAAAAAAATTACCAAGCTACTGCTCCTTAAAGGCGGAAATACACATGCCTCTTGCTTGCACAATAGCATGCAAGTAGCTTGCAGGAGATAGCTCCTGGTATGTGTATTTATTAAAAGGCACGCCTGTAGAAGGCGCGCAAGTAAATTGCACATCATTTGATTTTTTGACATGCAATGTAAGGCGGGGGGTTTCGGGGGAGTTCAAGTGGCATGTCGGAACGGGTCTACTAGTTGCTGGCACTCAAGTAGCTATCACCACTATAAGCGATTTTGTTTTCTGCTTTGGATGACTGTATGGGTATCTTTTTTCTGAATTTTGTTTCCAGTTTTCAATAACAGTCCATCAAATTTTTCAGGAAACATTCTCAAATGATTTATGTAGCCATTTATATCTTCTAGCCGCATTTCTGTAAGCAAACAACTGCTTGCTCCATATTCTTCTCTTCTGCTAATCCAGTCTTTTACCCAAATATCTCGTTTCTTTCTTCGGATCCTCTGTTGCTTAATATTTTTAAATACCAATTGAGGTGCAAGTAATAGGGTAATATTGTTTAATTAATTTCGCACATTTTCCATAGTTAACCTGTTATTTTCCGTCTTGAAAACTCTCTGATCACTGAAAAACTGGCACATGTATTACCACTTGCTACCTACTGACATGCCAATAAGCCATATACTAACGAGGCATTCCATTTTACTTGCAAATGTATCAGCAGTGAGCCATCCGCCGGCATATGCCATTTCTTATCATGCAAGTTACTTACCTATTTTACTGGTATGTGTATTTCCGCCTTAATACTAACGAGACATTCCATTTTACTTGCAAATGTATCAGCAGTGTGCCATCCGCCGGCATATGCCATTTCTTAGCATGCAAGTTACTTACCTATTTTACTGGTATGTGTATTTCCGCCTTTTGATATGTACAACAGCATGCAAGTAATTTTGTTACATGTTCAGTCTAGGACAAAGTGCGTTGTGCATACTTCGGTCAGTAATATTAAAACATCAACTCAAATGTTTCTCCTCTATTGACGAATCGAAAAATAGAACTATATTTCGCTAGTTATTTTTCTAATTACTAGTTACTACAGAAATACTGTAAACTTCAACAGTCTACATCAGCATATAATTTGCATCTTACTTTTTTTTATAACAAAATTGTAAAATACATATTAAATGTTTTTAGAAAAATTTAAGAAATGTGTTTTGAATTAAATCAACAATCAAATACTAATAAAATATAAATGTAATTTTAAGAAAATGAATTATTATTAACTCCCATATATTTTGTAGGTTTTTTATATGCCTCTGGTTTGTCTGTAAATGTTAGTCAAGCAGAGGCTTTAGTCCATTACACTTTTGGAGCATTAGGGGGCAATACATGGGCTCAAATGGTATTAGGATACAGATATTGGTCTGGTATTACAGTTGCCACTAGTTGTGAAAGAGCTCTAGATTTCTATAGACAAGTAGCTGATAAAGGTAAGCAGAAATAAAGTAACTTAGACAGAACATTACCTCATTTTTTGCATTATTATGTATTTCAGTAAGTCAAGGTGTATCTTTTGGAGGAGGTGCTGCAATACAAAGAATACGACTACTGGATGAATTAGAAAACGGTTACACATCCGGGATTTTGGATAATGATCTCATAGAGTACTACCAATTGCTTGCTGAAAAGGGCGATGTTCAGGCTCAGGTAAATAGTTCTATTTGTTTTTGTTAAATAACTCTTTCAAGTTACTCAGCAACAAATTATTTAAACTTCTAATTAAAATTGTGCAACTAAATATCGTCCACGAAGTAGCTTTGGTGAAATAAGATGCAGTGAAACACTTTTGTTACTTTAATGTTGTTTAGTTTGACATTGAATTTATAAATTATTAATCATGGATTGGAATTGGATCACCAATTTCTAATAGTATTTTCATTTGCTCCAATTTGGAGGCCGTCATACTTTACCAAAACTCTTTAGTTTTTATCTAATTATTTGAGTGTATTTAAATTGAGAAGCACAAATTTTTTTTCGTCTAAATACCAAAAACCGATTGCGGGCTTCATCGATATGAACTTTTTTCTTATTTTCTGTAAGAGAATTGAACGATTTTGTCACTGAATATTGCAACATCCTGTGTATAAGTTGCTCAGCTATGGTATGTCTGTATTGCATGTTTTACCTAATATTATTTTAATTTTTGGTGATTTTTAAATTTTATAATTGATATTTTTTAAATAATTCTATTCCATTCTGAAATAATTGCCAACAATCAGAAATTTTTTTTTTAAATCCAAAATTGACTGTTATTAATAGTGATGGGTAGTTATTCCAATAACGTTATTTTATTGGAACGTTCCGGAATGTGACCAACTTCTCTTGTAACGCGTTACTGAGGAACGAATGTGCGTCTACGAAATAGATAGAACATGGAACAAGCAAACAACTAACAAGCATGCAATGCGTTGTTTTGGCGTTGTACGGCTGTAACCGTCAGGTGTCGTATTGTAACGTAACTTTATTTTATAATCACAAAAAGAAACGTAAACTGAAATTAAAACGTTTTACATTATGAATGTATTGGAATGTAGAAAATAATAATGTAATGGCTATGTAGACATTAATTTTATTTATGAAGGTGAAAACTGCAGATTGCTATTTATACATCTTATATTAATACAATGAATATTATAAAAATAAACTTTATACTAAAGAAGCAAAAGAAAACAAAAAATATGAGTACAAATAGAAGTTCCAAATATTTTAGCAAAAAGAATGTCGGTTGTCAATGCATCCAAATAATAAAACTTACATAGTTACTATTGTTACATTACACATCATAGTCCTTTCAAATCAGCCACGATGTCGCAGAACGCACTCGGTGTCAAACTGTCAAACTTCCAGAAGTAACCTCGTTCCAAAATAACGTTATTTTAGAGCGTTATTCTTTTGCAACGTTCCAAGTTATAACGTTATCGATTTCGAGCCGTTATTCCCATCACTAGTTATTAACACATTTGGTCTCATATTGGAATTTCCGAAAACCGCTTATGTGTATTTTTATATAGGTTGGTTTGGGTCAACTTCACTATCAAGGGGGGAGAGGTGTTGACTTAGACTACCAGAAAGCAATGCATTACTTCACCCAAGCTGCAAATGCAGGAAATGCTATGGCCATGGCATATTTGGGAAAGGTTAGTAGTTAGGTACTAAATATAAAATACTGAAAACACCCATTATAATTTTTATACTTGTAGATATATTTGGACGGAAGTGACGAAGTTCCTGCTAACAACGAAACTGCATTCAAATATTTTAAAAAAGCCTCGGAATTAAACAATCCTGTGGGATTAAGTGGTCTTGGTTTGATGTATTTATATGGAAAAGGCGTAGACAAAGATTATTCTAAGGCTCATCAATACTTCTTGGCAGCTGCTGACCAAGGTTGGGTAGATGGACAGTTACAACTAGGGAATATGTATTTCAGTAAGTTTGTTTTCATAGTTATTGTGTGTATTAGTAATTTTCTGCATTTGTCAAATATCACGAACATAAATTTATTTTTTGTAATTTGCAATTTAACTCGGATTATTTGAATTAATGATTGCAATAGGTTCTTCCAGATACTATGTATTTTGGAAAACATTTTAGTAAAATAAATATAAAAGGGCAAACAAACCATTGATAACATATTTAAAATTATAATTTCATCACATTCATAAACAATTCTTTTTGACATAAAAAGCTTATTAAATGTGGAAGAAATAAATGTAGATTTCTTTTAACATCCAGTTTAATTTTAGGTGGTTTAGGTGTGAAAAAGGATTTTAAGTTGGCAAACAAATATTTTTCACTCGCATCTCAATCTGGTCACGTTTTGGCTTACTATAATTTGGGTCAAATGCATGCTCAGGGCACTGGAATGTTACGCTCCTGCCCAACAGCTGTGGAACTTTTCAAAAATGTTGCAGAAAGAGGTAGATGGGGAGAAATTTTAATGCAAGTACGTGAAAATTTATAATCCGTGTGTGCATATAGAGAGCAGAAGCAGAAATGAGGTGAAATTACCCCCAAATTTAAAATGTATAAATTTTTGTTACAAGTATATATATAAAGCGTTTTTGTCTATACAGGGTGTAACTTTAACCCTTTCGCTACGGCTACAATATAATTTTTTCTGCTTTAAAAATACTATTGGGTTATATATGTCCCAAGGAAATTTTAAAAAACACTGCAAGCATACTAATGCATTATAAATCCCTATTCAAACTGTCCCAACCGTGCTGCTAGTACTAGGTATATATTCGCGTACACATCAGTCCACCTTATTAACACCAGTCTTAGTTAACCTCAAAATTTATGAAAAAAAATTATTAAAATTTTAAATGTGGCATGCTAAAAAGATAATATTGAATAAACTTGTTCTGAGGGCCTATAAAAGTATTATAGTTATACAAAACATATATGCCCTTTAGTGGCGAAAGGGTTAAGTGGGGGTAAGTTTTTGACGGGTAATAGTATGTGTTACCCTGAATACGAATCTGAAAGTCTTTTTTTTTTTAATCATATAAATACTCGAGTTATGATTAGTTTTTTAAATTGCGCTTTAATTCTTGTGTACGTCGCCACTAAACAGAGTAAGCCAGTGCTCCTGGAATTTACGTATGAAGCTGTATTCTAGCTGGTGCTGCCAGTTGCTTTTAACCAACATTGAGCGAAGTTAAAAAAATAAGCAAATCAGATTGTTTTTGTATAATTTACGGACTTATTATTTTAAACCCATCACATTTTTTTTATATCATTGTGGTAGAAAAGCGGAACTTGTAAAAAAAAAATAAAGATTAACATGATTTATTAAACATTAACTAATATTGGTACGTACATTACTAATTGTAAATCATTTTTTTTTAATCAACTGCTACACGGTGAAACTAATGAAAAATAATTTAGTGAAAACAGATTGCTTTTCTATAACAACGATATGTTGTTTTAGTCACCATATTTTTTTTTTACGTCAATGTGGATGAAACGCGAAACATCAAAAAAATTGTTTTTAAACAATTTTTAATTTTTACATGATTTATTATTAGGTAAAGTAAATTATTGGTATGTAGATACGTTACTAATTGTAAATAAAACTTATTTGTGTTTTGAAATAATTACACAGGCCAACAAGGAAAAAATTCCAGAGATCAGACACTACGTTTCCGAAGGCATTTGGCGCGCTGAATCCCAATCTGGCCTCAGAATTGATCCATCAATCCTACGTTTCCGAGATATTCTAACCTAAAAGTGCAAAAACACGTATTTTTGCTATTTTCAAGGTTATATAACTTGGCGAAAATTTTTTTTTTTCTCAAAACTGAAAATATTGGAAACTACTATCTTTCCCCTTCAAAACGCATTTTTTTATTTGTAAAAAGCTTTATTTTTCGCGGAGATATCGTCGATTAAAGATGATCAGTATAGCTACCTTACTACCATGGCTCGACCTATAACATAATATCACTAAGCGCTACGAGCCTTAGATGTCAGGAAGGTTAACCCCAATAACCCAAATAACCCAATAGGGCTTGGGATTAACCTTCCAGACATATAGGGCTTGGGGTTAACCTTCCTGACGATTAGGGCTCGCAGCGCTTAGTGTTGTTGGGTTATAGGGCTTGAAGTTAACCTTCCTGACGATGAGGGCTCGCTCCGCTTAGTGTTGTGGGGTTATAGGGCTTGGGGTTAACGTTCCTAACAATTAGGGCTAGCAGCGCTCAGTGTTATGGGGTTAGCCATGATGTAATAATATAGCCATACTGGTCATCTTAAATTGACGATATCTCCGCGAAAAATAGAGCTTTTTCCAAATAAAAAAAGCCGTTTGAAAGGGAAAAAAAAGCCGTCCCAATGATGTTTTCAGTTAAAAAAAAAAATTTTTTTTTGCCAAGTTACATAACCTTGAATATAGCAAAAGTACGTGTTTTTTACACTTTTAGGTTAGAATATCTAGGAAACCTAGGGTGATGGATCAATTCTGAGGCCAGATTCGGATTCAACGCGCCAAATGCCTTCGGAAGCGTAGTGTCTGATTTCTGGATTTTTTTTTTTTTTAATTTTGTCGGCCTGTGTTATTTTTGCCATTTTAAAAAACTAAGAATAAAAAATAAATGAAAATACATACTGATATGAAAAAATTTTTTAATCGTTTTAAATTTTTACATTTTACAATTTATGTGTTACTGTTTTTTAAGTAGCGCATATTTTATTTTTGAATGTCTGGGTCAATGACCTGTAACACTGACCTAGTTTTACTGCTATGTACAAGATGTAAGAAATACGCTTACAAAGGGTTTGCAGGTGTTCCGATATGACGAGTTAAATGCATTAAATACAACACCACGTTAATTTGGTGGAACGGGATTGGCCGAATATATCGTCTCTTACATTCTTATTTAGTATTCGACTATATCGTTTTGTGAAAAACTGTATAGTACCGTTGTGTGGTGTAACCTTATAGTTATTTGTATGGATTATCCCAAAGAGCAGTACCTCACACCGGGTGATGTGAAATTTAGTTCTTAATAATCATTTCTTTAAATAATGAGATTTGGCAACGATGCATAGCCCAGTTGTCAATTGTGCATGCGCTGAGACTAACACGTGCCATTGTTTGAGATCACACTAGTTTGTCCAGAGGCGGGGTAGAGAAATTATTGAAAAAAGGTAAAAAAATATTAGTTTTTAGGATGGAATTTGAAAAAATAAACTATTGAAACGTTTTGCTAGAGGTCAAAGGTAGCCTCTGTAAATATGACCCCCACTTAAAGTTACACCCTGTATAGTTTTTCTGTTCCACGATGTGTTTAGTTACAGAAAATTGATTCGGATTTGTTTGCTTTTTTTGTTTAAATCTCGTGTATATATTCCCAGACATTGTTTAATTTCTTTTTTTCTCAGGTATTATATTTCTCAACTGCCTCTGCTTTATATGTGCACTTATAAATAATATAATTAAACCATATTATTTAATATAACAATTAAACATAATATGTAATATTTATTAATGTATGAAACAGCAATAAGAGTTACGTTGTCTTACAACTGAAAATAATTTTTTTAGGCTCATTCAGACTATCGAGAAGGTCGATATGATGAATCCTTTGTACAATATGCCCTTTTGTCTGAATTAGGGTACGAGGTAGCTCAAAGTAATGCAGCATTTCTTTTGGATAGAGGAGAAGTTCCGATGCTAAATACCCAAGAAGCTCTAGTCAGAGCCTTACTGTATTGGGGAAGAGCTGCTGCTCAGGGTTATTCTGCTGCTCAGGTTTGTAATTTGGTTTAATCGGATATAATTTTTATATATTAAACGCCGTCCCCCCTTCTTCCTCACTCAATTTCGCTATTAAATGAGGCATTTTGCCCAACGAAAGGTTTTTTTGCTATTTCCTAGGTCAAATTTCCTTATTTTACATCCTCGAAGAAAATTTTATATTTTGAATGCAGAAGTCAGATATGAATAAAAAAGAACATCCCTCAACGAAAATTCATAAATGTCAAAGTACCAAAACTTTTTTGCACTTATGGCTGTTTTCTACCATTGCAATTGGCCTTAGTCATTCAGAAACGGTATTGTTTGTAGTGAAAAAGTCCAATCCAATTTCCCTGCACACTATTTTTTATAAAAAATTAATGTTCAATTCAATTCAAAATTCAATTCAATTCAATTCAAAATTCAATTCAATTCAATTCAAAATTCAATTCAATTCAATTCAAAATTCAATTCAATTCAAATTAATTCAATTCAACTCAAAATTAAAGTTTAATTCAAAGTTACCTGTTTATACCTATCTACCTGGTTTTATGCAAGAAACAAAAATGTTGACCAAACTTTGGCATATTGTATACATATTTTACGTTCGATTGGTAATAAATTTATCCAAAAACTCAATAACTACATTCATAACAAAAAATTTACAACTTTACTTTTTTATATTAAAAATAGCTGTGCAGGGAAATTGGATGTCGACCAAATCAAGTCTTGCTTATTAATACATTATATTATCAAAATTCAAATTTTATTAGAAATCTTGATGGGTGAAAGTCGATCTAAATCGGGATTTTGTACTATCTCTGCTACTAGTTGATAAACCTGAATACAAATTAAGTGAATTTTTGCCTGTAACAAGTAAAACTCGTTAGTGTTAATGGGTAGAGAATAATAAATTTGTTTATTACACATTTGTCATATTTTGTGTTTAATCCAGTTTGTAGTTGCAGGCTATATTAGTGACATGTTTATTATGCCTCAGTAACCTAACGATACATGTTAGCCTCATCTATTGTGGATTGTTTCGATTGATGACTAGCAATGTGTCTAAACCCACTGGTTGTCGAAATACAAAAAAAAAAAAAGTATATTAAATTTACTCAAATAGCTAAGTGAAATATTGATAATTTAAAAAAAATCAGTATAGAAGTATGTCAAGCAGAGGCTGACATACTGGCGGGCAATACGTCTAGAATTGAAGAATTTCAGTGTCAGGAATTTATTTTGAATATTTCATCAACGGATTTAATTTTCACAGTATTATATTTCCATATAAAATCTGTGAATTTTTACATTTATTTAAATATGTATAAATTTCGTCAGACTAAGTCAGACATATTTGAATGAATGATTTTAATTTTGTTTGTGTTTCTAAAAAACTACTGACATTAGACTCTTGGTTAATTCCGAAAATCCAAGGAACAACCTCCTAACGTTGGGCGAAATTATTTAATTTTTAATGTTTCGTTAGGAATATTTTCGTATTTAGCGCATGTCTACCCAGAAAACGTCCTGCATATAAGCGACAAACTGCAAAGGCTGCTAAGTCTTGGAAGACTGATGTAAACAACAAATCATGATAATAAGAGCACTATGAAACCACAATAATACTAAATAAATAGGCATCTCTCAAATCAAATCGGCTGAAGGTACTTGAAGGAATAAAAAATAAAATCTTTTTAATAAACACAACTGTTCAGCTATGTAATGCTTTTAAAACAACTTCTTTCTCGACATCTGCAAATATCTAGTATTAAAGTTTTTGTGGATAAATAGCTTTGCCTCGTGCCCGTGGCGGTTCTTATAAAAATACAATTCGAGTTTTTATTTTAAAATGGCATTGTGGCGATTCCTTCGAACGATAAATCCAAATGGCATTGCCTGCGGTGGCGCAATCTGGGAATTATCGGCACCGATATTCCATTGTTCGATAAACATAATTGAGGAGTACAAAGGTGGGCCTAAAAATGCTCTCTCCATATACCTTCGGCACGAAAACCGTCGCAACGAAACATTAATTCCAGTTCACAAATCTTAAGTTAATGTCAAATATCACATTAACTAGCATCAACATTACAGTATAGTATGTTGCAATTACCAGAAAATATTCTATTAATTGCAATACTCGGGAACCATTTTCTTTATATTTTTGGCTCGTAAAAATATTTTGGTTCAAAATGACCCTAAGGACAACCCCCTGAAGTTTTAATGTAGGCTTCTTATGCTCATTAAAAAAATTAGTAAAGGGTTCCCTAGGAATTTTGGCCAGGAGCACCATTATTTCTCATTTCAGCATTGATGCTTAACATTGAAAATGTTTTGCAGGACTAGTAAAAATATGTAAATTAAACAAGGACAATTTAAATGTCCTTGTAATTAAATTATATATATTTACATTTTATAATAGCTACACAGGGCGTTAGAAAATAGGTCAAGCCATTAACCAAAGATTCGTTGACTGAAAATAATAGCACTTTTTCAAAGAATTTGTTGGGTTAACAGCTTAACCTACTTTTTTGTAACACTATAATAGAGAAACATTAGTTTTCACAACAAGCAAGAATGAAAGTTAATCCACAGTAATGAATCTTTTATTTCAGGTTAAATTAGGTGACTATTATTACTATGGACTAGGTACACCGGTGGACTATGAAACGGCAGCTACACATTATCGACTAGCTTCTGATCAACAGCATAATGCTCAAGCAATGTTTAATCTCGGTTATATGCATGAACAGGGGCTGGGCATGGTTAGGGATATGCATTTAGCCAAACGATGCTATGACAGGGCTGCAGAAACCAGTACAGATGCTAAAGTTCCTGTAGCTTTGGCATTATTTAAATTGAATCTATTGTTCAGTCTTGAAAGTATAAAGGAGGTAAGTGACATAGTTTCCTAAAATTGTAAATTTCTTGCAAAAAAATGTATTTTTGCAAATTTGTTTTATAAATAATTGGATTTAGGAAAACAGTCTTTTTTAAATCACTTTTAATCGAATGCTGACTGTAATCATTTTTAAGTTAAATTTATTTTTTTTAATATTTTTATTGCATTTATATATCGAGCTTGTTATGCATTACCTACTTTATTTTGTATAATTTAAATAATAACATTACATTTACATTTTATTTTTATATTCAATTAATCCTAAAATTCTAATCAAATAAAGTAATTTAAGCTCCTTCATTTGATGAGAATTTTGGGAAAATTTTTAAAATCGGAGAAATCTTTCAAACTATAATAGCTTAAATGTACTATTTTAAAAAATCTACAGTACGGTATTTGGAGATGATATTTCTCATCATATTCATAGAAGCTAATTTCAATGTTTAAAGTTTAAATCATTTAAAAAAAGAATTTTCAACTTCATATAATAATAAAATAATATTTAAAAAAATATTACTTAAACGAGTTATTTTTATAGTTCTTGTTACAGAGTCCACTGTCTGGCCTACTTGATTTTAATGAAACTTTGGGTTCAAATTGGGATTTATATTTAATAACAACCTTAGCAGCCGTTTTGGCCGGAATCGTTTATTTCAGGAGACCTCAAGTACCACATGTAGCACCATAACATGTAAAAATTAACTGATAGTCTATTTATTTTGTACATATTAAGATTAAAAGTAGAAACATCAATTTTCAGTTTTATTTCATTCAACAGCTGAAGTAAACCCATTTTATTATCTTTGTTACATTTTTTTTTTTTAATAAAATGTTTTATTCTGGTTGTTTTCATACAGTATTTATTAATCATTTATTGAAATGTGCAAATTGCTAAAATCAATTAAAGACTGTTTTAGAAAATACTGATTTTAATTCTCTTTTGAATTTTTGAAATACCTTTCATTTATCCACTCCTGATCTTGTAATAGGTGTATGATCCAATTACAATATTTATTTGTTATATACAGGCTGTTACAAATTACCTTCTCACTACAGGGATCTCGGAAATGGTAAGAGGTATGAAGTAGCTTAAATGGGGATCAGGGGACCAACATTATGCCTCTAAAAATCAAGGCTAACATGATTAGTTATCGAAATATTTGAAAAAAAACGAAATTTTGGTAATCCGTTTTTGTTTCATTTCAGCCTTGTTTGAGGTGATATTGAAAAAAGAAGAACACTTTCCAATGGTCACTTTTTGCCCTCTATCGAATGGCATACTCAATTTTTATATGTAACATTTCGTCTCTACAGGACCATCAACTTCATATTTTTAAATACGACACTGGAAATAGTCCCCAATAGGTTACAGCCTCAGCCCGAACCAGATTCAGCCATTTTGTCTCAAAAAATTCATCTTCAGTGTATTCGTCCCAAATTTATCTAAATTTTTTATTTAAATTTCTTTGTTTATTGAATTATCGTACACTGTAAGTGTCGTTAGACCCTGTGAAATCCATCTAGTTATTCAAACTATTACCACCACGCATTAAAGTAAAACATTATTAGTTTTATTCCCGTGTCCATAGTTATTTCTAGGCTTCTCAAGTGTTCAAAATTCAAACAAATTCCGATCTATTTTTTTCAGGATATTCATACAAATACATCTGACATGCTCTTTCAGAGTTACAGAATTACAGATATAATAAATTCCGATAATATTATGCTGATCTTCATTTTTAACCTTTGCCAAAACGAAAATATTTTTGAACATTTACTAAAATTTTTTAAAGAATAATATTCAGTTGGTGTTTTGGTTGTTCATATGCATTTTTAAGAATTAATTTGTCATAAAATTAAAATTGTAACAATGTTTTAATGTTGACACAACAACTTATTGAGTTATGTATGACCAAGTGATGGTAATAGTTAATAATAATAAATGTTCTATTGTAGTGCATGGTGGTAACAGTTTAAATAACTAGATGGATTTCACAGGGTCTAATGACACTTACAGTGTATGATAATTCAATAAACAAAGAAATCTAAATAAAAAATTTAGATAAATTTGGAATGAATACACTGAAGATGAAATTTTCGAGACAAAACATCTGAATCTGGTTGCTCTCTATCGAATGGCATAATCAATTTTTATATGTAATTTTTCGTTTTTCCAGAACCATCATCTTCATTTTTTTAAATACGACCCTAGAAATTTTATTACATTTTTTGCAAGCCTTCATGACCCCCAATACTGTACCGCCTCAACCCAAACCTGATTCGGACGTTTTGTCTCAAAAATTCATCTTCAGTGTATTCGTTCCAAATTTATCTAAATTTATTATTTAGATTTCTTTGGTCATTTAATTGAAAATTACCAGGGTCGTATTTAAAAAAATGAAGTTGATGATGGTCCTGCAGAGACGAAACGTTACATATAAAAATTGATTATGCCATTCGATAGAGCAAAAAGTGGCCATGAGAAAGTGTTCTTCGTTTTTCAATATCTCCTCAAACAAGGCTGAAATTAAACAAAAACAGATTTCCAAAATTTCGGTTTTTTTCAAATATTTCGAAAACTAATCATGTTAGCCTTGATTTTTTAGAGGCATATTGTTGGTCCCCTGATTACACAAATTTGCCCCAATTAAGCTACTTTGTAGCTCTTACCGTTTCCAAGATCCCTGTAGTGAGAAGCGAATTTGTAACAGCCTGTATACAGGGTGTTCCTAAATAAGTGTCGCAAGGGAAAACTGTAAATTCCTCTTGAAAAAAGAAACATTTTTTTCCTCTTCCATTTTTCTCTCTGGGCTTTCGTTTTCGAGGTACACGGTGTCAAAACTTTAATTTTTTTTTAGTTTTTCGCCAATATCTTAGGAATCGTTTGAACTACAGGACTGAGCTTTTGTACACACATTACCACTATTAATAGCTACTTTTTCGCACCCTTCTCGAATTCATTGGACGTGCCAGTGGTGGAGATTTTAAGGTATCGTAAGGGTTTTTCCCCCCCTAAATTTTACGCCACTGGAAAAATTGACTTTTGACAGCAAATTCTAAAGCGCCAATGAATTTTACACAATAAGAGTTCTCTTGGTTCATTGCTCTAAAGTCAACCGTTTTCAAGAAAAATGACTTTTTATGAACAAAAGCAAACATTTTTGCTAACGTTCCATGTCAATACTATCGAAAAGTTGACCGATAGAGGTGAAGCCGCAGCGGCAGAAAGAAACATGATTAGAAGATGTAATGCGTGCATTCAAGCCAACGGACGTAATTTTGAACAGTTTCTGTAAATTTTACTCGCCAAATTGATAAAAAAAAGTTAAAATCCTATCTGTTGTTAAATTTCGTTAAAATTGTTAATTATTACTACCTATTTTTTGAATTACAAAAGATTTTCGAAACGTTAGCAAAATGTTTGCTTTTGTTCATAAAAAGTCATTTTTCTTGAAAACGGTTGACTTTAGAGCAATGAACCAAGAGAACTCTTATTGTGTAAAATTCATTGGCGCTTTAGAATTTGCTGTCAAAAGTCAATTTTTCCAGTGGCGTAAAATTTAGGGGGGGAAAACCCTTACGATACCTTAAAATCTCCACCACTGGCACGTCCAATGAATTCGAGAAAGCTACAAAAAAGTAGCTATTAATAGTGGTAATGTGTGTACAAAAGATCAGTCCTGTAGTTTAAACGATTCCTAAGATATTGGCGAAAAACTAAACAAAATTAAAGTTTTGACACCGTGTATCTCAAAAACGAAAGCCCGGAGAGAAAAATGGAAGAGGAAAAAAATTTTTCTATTTTCAAGAGGAATTTACAGTTTTCCGTTGCGACACTTATTTAGGAACACCCTGTATATATTATCCAAGTATCACATATAGTACTGACACCTTAAACCATTCCACCCATATAATACACTTGCATTTTTCAAAAATATGGATTTATTAGACAATTATTATCTTCATTTATTTCCACTAAATTTACATTTCTATATCGAATTCGTCGATATTAAGAAAGTGAAGAAAATGTCAGATAATTTCTCTTAATAATGGTGCTTTTACTTTTAATGTACAACTTTTATCAATAAAGAGAATACTAATTCTCAATAATTTTTTATAATTTTACTAAAAATATTTGCAGGTTTTGATTTAAAAAAAAAAAAAGATATTTTCTCTTAGTATACACAAACTGTCCTTATTTGGTATTTAGACTTTAGTAAAAAATTAGAAGTTTTTTTTCTAAAATCAAAAATATTCCCTATTTGCTGAATACTGTATAATTTTTATAATCATATTTTATTAATTACATGGGATATTGACAAAAAAAATTTGGAATTGATGATTGAAAACTGACAACTGATGCAGAGTAATATATCTTCGTAAACCAGAATTTTTATAAATTTACCTGGAAAATCTGGAAAAACCATGAAATTTTTTGGACAAAATTTAGTATACACCTTGTATTACAAACAGCAAGCTATACTATAATTCACATTTCATGTTAAAATAAAATAGTATGCAAATAGAACTTATTTAATTTTAAATATAAATGTTTATTTAAATTAAGCATAATAATTAAGATTAGCTTTCTTTTTAGCCTGTACTTCCATAATAGCATCCATGTAGTCCTCATGAGTTACTGCGGTAGCATTGCGCCTTAAAGCAATCATACCAGCTTCAACACAAACTGCTTTGCATTGAGCACCATTGAAGTCATCTGTAGACCTTGCTAATTCCTCAAAATTAACATCAGGATTAACGGTCATTTTTCTAGAGTGAATTTGCATTATTCTTGCTCTGGCTTCTTCATTTGGATGTGGGAACTCTATTTTACGATCTAACCGACCAGAACGGAGCAAGGCAGGATCTAAAATATCAACTCGATTGGTCGCTGCTATTACCTTTATGTCTGCTGTTGAACTAAATCCATCTAACTGATTGAGCAACTCTAACATAGTACGTTGCACCTCACGATCTCCCGCCTTTTCAGAATCGAATCGTTTTGTACCAATAGCATCTAATTCATCAATAAATATGATTGCTGGCGCTTTTTCCTTTGCCAGAGCAAATGCATCTCTTACAAGTTTGGCACCATCACCAATAAACATTTGTACTAACTGAGGGCCTGCCAACTTCAAAAATGTGGATTTTGTTTGTGCAGCACATGCTCTAGCTAATAAAGTTTTTCCAGTTCCAGGGGGGCCATATAATAATACTCCTAAAAGAATATTCCCAAATTTAAATAATGAAATTATGAATAATGAAAAATATTAAATCTAAATAATCCATTTTTTAAATTAAGTATTTGAAATAAATATATGAATAACATTTTTTATATGGTACTTCTTAAAATATAATCAAATATCATGAATGGATTTCTTTTCTAGTCAAATTGAAATCAGTTTACAATTTATTTTACCTTTTGGAGGGTGTATGCCGAGATTTACAAATTTATCTTTATGTGTCATTGGAAGAACCACAGCCTCAATAAGCTCCTGAATTTGTTTATCAAGACCCCCGATGTCCGAATATTGCTCAGTAGGTCTTTCATCTACTTCCATAGCTTTAACTCTAGCGTCGTATTCAGCCGGAAGAGTCTCCAATATAAGATAAGAGTCTTTATTAACACCAACCAAATCACCTGGTTTCAGTTTTTCTTCATCTACAAGTCCAATGACTGGTAAAAAATAAGTTTGACGGGTAGAGGTTTTTACTACAGCACATTTTCCTTTTCTCTGCGAATCTAAATCGACCACAGCACCATCTTCCTCTTCTTCTTGGGGATCAACATCCAGGAGTTCTATTACATTCGAAACTAGGTAAGGCAAAGTTTTGTTTACTTTAATCTTTTCTGTGTTTTCCTTTATCTTCTCATTTTGTGCTTGTAATTCATGATTTATTCTCATGACTTCACTCTTCATTATCTTAATTTCATTGTCTAATAAACGAGTACGACTTACTATTTCATCTGTAGACATCCTTAATACTTCTTCACCCAAAGATTCTTCGCCATCCTCCCAAATTGATTTATCTTCTAACGTGGACATTTCTCTTACACGGATTTTAAGGACTCAATTAACACTTAACAGTTAAAACAAGTAAGAGGATGATTATTAAAATTAAATATACAAGTCAAATGTCAAAAGTTAAAATGATTGTACCAATCCCTGAGACCAAAATCCCAAAATCAATCACGCCAAGTCATTTCCCTGAAAACGACAAACTCGCGAATGAAGTCGTATATCATGGAGACTACACCATAGATAAGAACAAGTAGACTCACAAGGAGCTCCAACTCCATGTAAACAAAAACTTTACAAAAATAAGAGGGCGCTAGTGTTCCATATGTCCCATACGGAGAGAGGGGATAAAAAAAGCGGCAGTTTGAATTATAAATTCATGTCATTTTTGTGGTGTTAAAAATTTTAAAATAAATAATGTAAGCTACTTTGAATTATATAAATCATGAAAATATATGTCATTCCGGACTATAATTAAACTAAATTGATAATAAAAAAATATTAGCTTTATGAGAAGAATTTGGTATACGTAGAAAGAAACTAGTTTTCAAGGAATTTATGACGTGTTCTTGTTAATATTAACCTATAAGTCAGTTCAGAGCGAACAGCCGAACTGAGCGGACGTGTTTGTTTGTGAGGTGAAGTGCATTGCAACGAGCAAGATCTACCTGCCTTTATTAAGGCTACCTGGAAAGAATCCCTTTCTTTCCTTTTAATCACCGACCTAATCCCCGGCTTAAGCATAGACGCCGTCGGCATCTTTGTCGCAGGTACCTGTCCCGGGGTTATGCCCAGGTAAGTTTTTACTTATTTATCAGTTATTTGCATTACTTTAAAATACATTTCTTTAAAATTGCGACCCCCGACAAACAATATACCAGACAGACAAATACACCAAAAGACACGTACGCCCCCGTAAGGGGGCATCCCCACACGACTAACACTTACACACCCACCCACCCACACACACACACACACACACACACACA